GTCAGCTCTTTTGCCAACGGTAAATAAGGTTCTTCAAAAATAGTGTGGCTTCCCTGCTTTAGCAATCCGCAAGCTTGCATTTTTCTGCGTTTCCGTTTTTATTTCCGTATTTATTTTAAGTTTTTATTTCATGCGCATGGGAGCAAAACACAGAGACGCTCAGTGTATTTTTCTCAAATTAACCTAGTACAGTTCTTAAATTTTTTTCTGTTATCTATCACGCTTTCCTGTCCTCACAAGATTACCAGAATTCGTAGCACGTATTTCTATGCATTCCTGTACTTACAACATTGGCATTGGTCCAAAATCATGCACATTCTCCTACCTCCCTATTTGCTGGAGATACAGTAGCTTTTTTTTTTAAATACAATTGGTCACTTGCGTCCATAGCACGCATTCCTATAGAGTGGTATAGAATTACAGAGTATCTCTTGTGTCCACTGAAGTATTAGCGCGCACTGTATCGTATTACGTAGGCTGCATATTTGACACGTACTAAAATACAAAATATGAAAACCCGTCCCGATTTTTCAGCGCACACGACAGTTCAAGGGTAATTTGGCGTATTACCTGGCGGCACTCCGCGTACCACTGCAGGTACGCGCACCACAGTTTGAGAACCACTGACGCAAATTATTAAAATATGAAAAAAAAATGGAAAGGCATGATTGCATAAAAATTCAAACCCTTTGCTGTGGCAAACCTAAATTAATTTAGGGGCATAAAATTACCTTCATGAGTCACACAACTAGATCAGTGACCTCTGTCCGTGTCCAATAGTTGTTCACAGTATTTCAGAAAAACTATATATACACCTCTGTAAGGTCCCTCTGTCAGGGACATGCAAAGATTCAATCTCGGAGCTTTCAAAATAATTCAGGAATAAAGCTGTCTAAAGGCAGAGATCAGGAGAAAGGTAAAAAAACATTTTAAAAAACCTTAATATCTCTTAGAATGGTGAAGCAGAACATAACCAGTTTGGAGGGACAGACATTGCCTAGATCAGGCTGTCCCTCCAAACTGAGCAGCTGGGCAAGGAAGAAAACTGGTTAGAAACACCACTGTGAGGTAAACGCTGACGCTCCACAAAGGAGTATGTATGGATCAGAAGAAAATATTTCATATCCAACACGGAGTTTGCAACAAAGCATCTAGGCGATACTGCAACCATACGGCAAATCATTGATTTGTGATTATTTTCTTCAAAATCTCTGGTCCCAATGTGGTCCGACACATCAGTGTGCAAAGTTGACAAGTCTTAATAATTAAACAATCAACATATTTTAGATTTTCCTATTTAGTTGTTGTGGATAGTTACAGTAACGTATCTTACCTTTAGAAGTCCTCAGTGTGAGTGTTCAGGTTTTGAAGACGATATTAAATTTAAAAAAGTAAACAATTTTGTGATTTTACAAAATGCGACAATATGAAAGGTGCTTTAAATCAAACCAAAAGACAGTCCGAAACTTTTACTACTTATGATAATAAACCCAAGCCAGTTTACATGTTTTGTTTGCATTTGCAAAATTGCTATCTGGCGCAAAGCTTGACACAGGAAACGAAGAAGAAAAAAAATAAGATGTACCAAAGATTAACAAGCTTCCATTATCAAAATTAACCATGATAGTGGATTAAAAAGGTTCAAAAGGTTATCAAGTACATCTACCAAAACAAGAACTTAAGGAAAACAAATAAAACATTACTCCTGGGACATTTTTTTAATAAGGAAGTAAAAAGTTAGGGGGATTCTGTTGTGAGGATCAAAATATATGAAAACATATATTTTAACAACATCTTTAAAAACTCATTATCTATGGATACACTTATTATATTTTTTTCCAACTTGACTTACCAAATGATTGGTTGGTCCTTCTCTATCCTCTTTCTTTATTTTTCCTCTTAAAATGCTTTTAGATGTAAAGCACGGTTCTTCTGGAAAAGTGAAGAAAAACATAATGCTGATATAGCCTTTTATTTTATTGTTAGAGAATATACAGTTTGAAGCTTGAAGAAGCTACCTGAAATGAATGAAAAGAAAGCAATACAAAATGCAAACAATGATAGGCTAAAAGTGTAAAATACACATAAAGGGATGTTATGTTATACTACTCTTTCAAAGTACTGTGTATTTTGGTCACCACCATGCAAAACATTTTGCTGCTCTGGAATCTGGAAAATGATATCTTAGGAAAGGGCTCCTTCAAGAAACAGCTGAACGAGATCCCTGGATCAATAAATTACTATTAATCATGGTAAATTAGTTGAATGTCCTACTCTTATATGTAGCCATTTTTCTGTTCAGAGAAGAACCGCATATTTTCACTCACACTGAGAAAGACAGCCCAGTGGACTTCAGAAAGAACAGTGAAACACAAACATCGGGACATGAATGGAGACTGATGGGAAGCTCATTTAAAACTAAGAACAGGAGGCACGTCTCTACACAAAGGATTGCGGGAGTATGGAAAAATCTACCTAGCCACAGCATTCTTTGAGAAACTTCTGGCTGAGATCTACTAAAAAACAATCAAACTAATGGACAAATGGCTTCCTCTTCTTTGTGAATTTTACGTTCTAAAACGTTTGAAGATGTAAAACTTCCGGTAACTATTCTATCACTCCAGGAATAACCCAGTGGAGTCAGCTGTACAGACCAGTGGATGAATATAAAATTATTTATAAAACTGTAAATAAAAGAATGCCAATAATTTCTTATAATTTACTGTTAAACTGACCCGCACGCCAGAAACACAATGGATAATCGGGGCAAAAAAAACTACCCAGGAAAGAGTTGCAAACTACAAAAAAGACTAAATTTAAGACCGGGAGTTACATACTAGTTAAACAAAACTGACATTTTAAGGAACGCGCAGGATCCGAGAACCCTGAAGGGGACTGGAAAAGTAGCAGTTGCCTAATAAAAAAGTGAATCATCACCTGGCTTTCCATGGCCAGTACACTGTTTAATGTTCTATAAAGGACATACTAATACAGTATCTTACAATTACGGTTGTGCTAACTATACCTTCAGTGTGTTGTTCTTGTAGGTGGAGCTCAACGTGCTCCTGCAGAATGTAACAATCGGCGCAGACGAGGGAACACATTGGACATGGGTACATCCTCTCTTTATAACAATAAGAATAAAAAAAGATTAAAATACAAAGGACACATAGTTCTGAGCAAAATAGACAACATGCCTAGCTGCTAATGCAAATTGTCTGCAAAAAGGGAAACGGAAAGACCAACTTCTTGCACTTATGCAGTCATAAACTTGAAGAAGATTCCACGCTAAGAACCTACTACAGCTTTGAAGTTCAGAGACACCAAAGTGAACAATACTGTCAATACTGTTCGGTCCTATTGTGCTACAGGTTTAGAGTACTGGATCAAAACTCCACAAAAAGCACTGAATGGGAAGAACTCTGTTAAATATCTACTTATCTATCCGATGCATCCCTAAATGCAATCTGCGTCACACTGAACGTAACTCTGTTAGCTCCTAATTCCAGGAAATGCAATCCAGACGACAAGTGTTTGCAGCAGAGTAACAAACACATACAGTAACAAACCCGGTGCCTGCTGGGAACTTCAAATCTAGAATAATGAATAAATATTCTAGAAAAAATCTAGAAGAAATAGTATTATTTATGGCACTCTTCTTATTCGTGCAAGGCCTAGCTATTAATAAATAACTTGCAGGGTTTTTTTTTTAATTTCACACTTATTTTTCCTTCTTTGATCCATAAGGAAAATGCCAGATACAGATGGTTAGGAAAGGCACTACATGAGAGACAAGCGTTATTACAACGCTGCTATACAATACCTACCTTTCTTGGGTGAATGAATGCGTTTTTGTTTTGCCTTTACTTGTGGTCCTGAGCATTCCTTCGCCACATGCTCCCGTTCGGATGTACATGCTGCGTGACTCACAACTCTTTCTGAAGCAGCCATCCCAGTTTCTCTCGGCGTTTGGGGGACTTTTGTGGATTCTCCTTGATCTTGTATTTTTAATCCATTTTCCTTCCATGTAAAAGAATCCTTTAGCACGTGTGCAGCATCCTGAGACATACCAACTACATGCTTTGAGTTCTGGGGACCTTCAGGATCGGATACTTCCATAGTGTTGTCCGTGTGGCCAGAGGTGGATGCTTCTACCACCTCTATATCCAAACCTGATTTAACCTCTTTCCGAGCGGAGGTCTCTGATAGCTCAGTGTTATTCTCTGAGTGGGCTATATCAATATGAAATAGCAGTTCATCGTAGGTCACACCTGACAGACAGCAGATCGGGCACCTAATTTCATTTTCCAAATGGCTGAGGAGGAGGTGAGTCTTCATGTCAGCTTCAGACAGCCCCTCCTCACCACAGATTTCACAAGCAAACATGATGTCAGCCTTCAATTATATCTGAAATAAAAAATAAAGCTGCGTGATCAGATCTTGCCACAGAGGTACACAATGACAAACATCTGACATCAACCTCTAATAACAAAAATAATTTACAAAAACTATAAATCCGTTAATAAAAAGCAAACAATGTAAGTGTCGTGCATTATTACACAAACCCTGACTGAACAGAACAAAAAGAAAATAAAGATTGAAAGATGACAGTATTTTAAACTTTTATAACATTATACCACGATGGGTAATATTGGTTGGTTTTAAACACTGTAATATATATTCCACAGTTCTGGCATAATTTACAAGTAGTAAAAAATCTGTGGAAAGGACACAATACGTAGAAAAGGTTAGTTCAAAATGAATTGTCATTTGTGCAGCATAAAACACGACTTTCTGTAGGCCTAGGTGTTTGTATGGACATCATTTACATATTCTTGACACTGTAAAAAGCTCTAAAAGGGCAGTAAAATGTTAAATAATACAGTCACAGCTTAGAAATCATATCAAGAGATGTTACAGAACCTTAAAATGGTACAAAGCACAAGATGTCATTTACATTAAGTGTACAGCTTTGATAACCAAATAACAAAAAAGGATATTGCTACATTGGAATCTCTCCAGAGAAGTTAAACTTAACAAATTCCTGGGTTGAAGTAATGATCTGATCTGCACTGACAGGTTTAAAGAGCTTGACTTTTTTTGTTGCTGTTCTGTTGCTGGACGTCTTCCAAATAAAAACACACAGCAGAGGACACCAGTGGAAATGCATCGTGAATTGACATGAGCTGGAATCCGTATCTTAATAATACTATTCCCAATAGCAATATTATTTTCAGACTTTTATCCAAAGCAACTTACAGATGCTTGACAAAAGGCGTTTAACAGGAAAGGGTTTATGAAATTAAGAAATGGATTACGTATGCAAAATACAAAATACGTACGAGACTCAAGGTGCAGTTGGACCAGAGACTGCGAGGTTTCATGGTCGTTTACATAAGCACACAGTGTATATTTCGGTCCTCATCCAAAAACTAATTGAGTGTTATTCTGTTACATAAATTGTATACGTTTCAGTTAAAAAATATTGACACATGTAATCCGAAATAAGTACTTATCAGTAACTATGAATTAAAGAATAGAAAGTTTCAACAAATTCGCTCCTGTACCCGGACACCACAACATACTGTACATTGAAAATATGATGTTTTTAAAAGAAATCTCTTAAAGCTGAATCAAAACAAAACAAACAAAACAGGATTGTTGTCATTCACCGCGGCGTGAATGACAACAGTCCTGAAGAACCAAGGCCAAGAGCTAACCGGGAATAACAATGCATAACAAAGATAAAAAGAATATAAATAATTAACACTATTCCGCGCTTTTCTCCGGAAAGGTAGAGAAGCATAACAACTTAAAATCATCTTTAAAGACACCGAAAGCTCTGAAAACGGATAAAAACAGGGCAAGAAATGTGCGCTTTAATTTGCCTCGCTTCCTCACCCTTCTTTCTCGTATTTCTACCGCTTTGATCGCTGCCGCTGTACACTCACTATTGCAGCAACAACACTTGCGTTTTCATTTTCCATTCAGCCGACTCCTCTCTTCCGCACGTGAATCCCACCCGCCCGGGCAAGGCCACGAGCCAATTGAGTGCAAATACGTCACGTCATTGGCCGTGGCCATTTGAGAACATGAAGGTGACGTAATGCGGAATCTCGACGCTTGGGAAGAAATAGACACATTAACCCTCTCTGTGCACTGTTCGTACAAAACACGCTCTGTAGCATGCTTACACTTTTATGTTATGAGTAAACCGTGCTCCGAGAGTATTCCCTGTGTTGGGAATAAGTGCTAAAGTACTCCGTCTACCTCCTGTGTGGTCAGGACGGGACTCTGGCGACTCAATGTCCCTGTGTGTAATGCTGAAGACGGAGGCATCCTAACCCAACAAGTCTATACCTCATACTTCTTTCATACTATTTCAAAATCTCGCATTGAAGTATCCGTAACCCACGGAGATGCTTTTACTAAATCTCTGATCGGGTCAGGCCTTTAAATTATGTTCTGCTTTTATTATAACACAGTGTCCCTGTGCAATGCAGGCGTTTTCGCCTGTCAGAAAAACCTGCAGCAGTCGTGGATCCTGGATCTTACCGAGCTCCAGCGCTGATTGGCCACAATCTCCTGCTGACGGACATAAGGGGGCTGCTGGGAGTCCTCTGTGCAATTGACAGAGGTGCGCCATATTGCGCTCAACTGTGTTAGCAATCCTGGTGAGGCAGTGCTCGGAAATAGAGCTGCGCAATTACTAAGCACGCAAGGCAGTACATGGGTAAGCGCTTCCTAACCCTTACACGGTCATCGTAGTCACTTGTTTGACAAGCGGAGCATGCCGTGCTCTTTAAGGTACACGGGGGAGGCCAGGCGCCAGGCTGAAGGAGTTTCAGCTGTTTATTTACAGTTAAGGTGGCTTTCGTGGGAGGGGATGTAACTAGAAAATCTGTAGTGCCTGCAGTTCTGAGCTCCGGTGTTAGGTGGCCAGTTGGCGGAGAGTGTAGGCCCCAGAGGCTGGCAACTGGCTCGTAACCAGGCGTTTGGGGTCACTGGAAGTCCTAGACAGGCTGTGGAAGAAGATCTAAAGGTTGGCTGCGGTCTTGTATTTTACCTTGGTTTTGTTTAGTGTCTTGTGATACTCGTGAGCACGCCTGGTGCAGCCCACCTGAAGACACAGGTAACCGTGGTCTTTAAATGTGTTTGCCATTTGTCCTGGAATCTTGCCGACTTGCGTTTTTTTTAAAATAAATTGTACGCGGTATATAATTGTCTCTTTAGGTTAATGTTGAATATCGTAATTTGTACCTATTATCTTATCTGGTAACGTCGCCTAGCCTTAGTTCGTACCTGTGATGGGTCTGGTTTGAAGTGTATCGTAAATGTACAGTGACCGTATGAACAAATAGTTGATGGGCGATGACGGGTCAGGCAGTGATGTTTTTCGAATAAAATAATTGGCATTCCTCTAAGCGTAGGTTCGGGTTTGTGTTCTCCGCCGAGTTAACGTTATTTGGCTGACAGTTTTGGTCCATTTGTACCCATTTATATAGCTGGGCATGGGCAGGAAACAGTTCGAGTTAATGATCAGTGCGCAACATCAGTGCCTCTCCCGGAATTTGAACCCCTCAAACTACTAATAACGCTGTTTCACATTTCTACCCTTTCCAGTTCTTCTACCCAACAGTTCTCCTGTTGTTGACTGACGACACCCCTGTCATAAATTCTGCAAATGTCGCTAGCTGTTGCTGAAGGTCACTTAAGTTTAAAATGTCACTATTTTTGGTGCATTAAAGCTGTCACTTAATATTTTCACTTTGTCTATGATCTACGCTTGTAATATCTAGACTGCATTCTTCGAAGCTGAAATGGCTTTATGTATTTCAGTCAACTTGGGTATACTTTGAGTAAAATGGGGGGGAAATTACCGGTAGTGGTTTCCCAAGGTAAAAGAAAGTGAAGGTCCCAGAGTCGCTTGTGTACCAACTTGTTAAAGAATGTTCAACGCCCCCCCCCACACACACACACACCAAAAAAAACGAATGAAAGGTCTAAAAGGGAATCTTTTTTGTGGAGACTGAAATGGGATATCACTGTATTACTGCAATATGAATTGGTAACAATTCCACCATAGAGGTCTTCCCTGTAGTTTTGGTTTTTACACACATTTTACAAACGGATGTACATAGCGTTCATTGATGCCAGAATTTCAGCAAGCTTTGGCAGAGTCTTGTGTATACATGGTCTAATGCAGACTCAGTCACTGGTGGCACGTCTCTGCCACCTTCCCAGAAAACCAGCAGCGTGTACTTTTTCGTTTGTGTTGATGCTTGCTGCATATTGTCTCTTTCATTTTCCCTGTGGCTCCCTCCTGTTTTTTTTTAACTATCTGGTGAGAAGCCATGGCTCCTAATTGTTACAAGTGAGGAAGTCGTTTGTTTCTTCGCTTTCGTGATCTGTGATAACGTCAGATGTGTTGGATCAGTTTGAGTCGGGTGAATCATGTTTTGGTTTTGTAACTTTTACTTTTTACAGGATGGGGTAGTTAGTCCCACCTCGAAGTGCGATGGAGGGGCTGCCTCCTTAAAGCGTTCGACCTAAATTGATTTCTGTTAGGGTCGTCTCTCTTAGCCTTTGAGGATCCCTCCTCTGTCCACAAGGCAGTGGATCCCTGTTGGTCCGTGGGCCCTTATTCTGTATTTTTGGGCCACCCCGCTGTTATGGTGGGCTCCCCCATCCGCCACATGGGGGACACACTCTCTAGGGATTACAGGGTCCTCAAAAGATGGATAAACGATGTTGAAGACCTCAGAAAGCTGAGAGTGAGAGGATGGCGAAGACTGGTATGGGGCCGAGATGCGTGGAGGAGGCCAGGGCTCTACAAGGGCCGTAGCGCCATGCGGCTAGTTAGTTAGAATCATGTGTTACAGTGGAAAGATGAATGGTGGTAAAGACAGTAATGATGCATCTCAAACTTTCTCTTATTGTATGGGAAATTCGTTAAATTACCTTTTATTTCTGCTGTGTATGTACACTTGATTTACTTGTTACGTGCCCTGGGTGCTATCTGTGTGGAGCTTTGTATGGGTTTCCTCCAGGCACTCTGGTTTTCTCCCACAGTCCAAAGACACTGGTAGGTTAATTGGCTTCTGGGAAAGACTGGTCCTGGTGTGCGTGTGTGCGTGCGTGTCCCACCCGGGGTGTTCCCCGCCTTGCGCCCATTGCTTCCCAGGATAGACTCCACCTCCCCTGTCTCCCTGAATTGGGAGAAGTGCTTAGTAAGTGTAGGGATGTGTTGTATGTGACTGAAAGAAAGAAGTGAGGTCTATTATGAGGTTTACAAGTCTAATGCTGGTCATCTGCACCTCAACCCCTTTTTCCCCCCCATGAACTTAAATATTCATTACATGTGATTTCTTCAGCCAGGGGGCTTTCCAGGAGTGAACCCCCATGTGAAATGAGGGGAAAGGTGTATTGAAGTGCACAAAGACACTGGGACGCATTCACTAAAATTTCACCGTGAACTTTTTTTATTCTCTCCTCCTGAGTCTATTCTCTGTATTCAAACCAGACGCCATGGCAAGCCCCGTGAAAGACAACTGCCGAATGAAGAGTTACAAGAACAAAGCGCTGAATCCGCAGGAAATGCGCAGGCGAAGAGAAGAAGAAGGGATTCAGCTCCGAAAACAAAAGCGGGAGGAACAGGTCGGGTCATTTCCTCTTCACTTGGAATGTGTCCTCACCCTGTCTTTTCCTTGCCTGAGTGGAATGTGAACTGCAAGCTGTGCTAGTTATAGTGTAATATTTATAGTACCTATTAAATGAATGTTTTTTTTATAATGGGTTGAGTTTGTACCATACAGAAGACACTGTCCCTCTTTTTTTGTATACATAATGAGAAGGATTTCTATTTCTGCAGCTGTTCAAGAGGAGGAATGTTTCCCTTCCTGTTAATGACGAATCGATGTTGGAAAGTCCAATTCAGGACCCTGATATCAGCTCAACGGTACCTGTTTCAGGTGTAAGTTATTACATGCCGCCATATATTGAGGCCTCATGGTTTTTTGATTGTATTTAAAATGTTAAAGCACTAAGCTGAAAATCAAGCATGTTTATTACACCTAGATTAAACATTTTTTCATTTTTAATCCTCTTGGGGGGAGAAACGCCAACTGAGTCAATACTTAACTGAAGAATCCCTACTTTGAGCACAGGTTGAGCACTGTGGTTTAGAATTCGAGACAGCTGGGCCATGTAACTCATTCACTGTCCGCACCTTAGTAATTCAGTTGTGCTGCTGATGGTAGTATTGAGATTGGCTGGCAGTGCCCCTTCTCGGGTGTGTAGGGACTTCAGTGAAGGACGTGCCCCTTGTCCAGTCAGTGTCGGCTCTCCTGCAAGGTGCTGTGGAGCTTGAGGCCTGCCAGAAAGATGAATGGCTCAGTGGGTGAGCAGACTGGAGGAGCCCCCCCCTGGCACAGTGCAGTGCAGGAGATATTGCTGTGAACGAAGACAAAAAGAAACCGTAGGCAATTCCAAAACTGGAGGAGTGTGAAAAGCCAAGCTGAGGAACAGCTATACGATTCCCTAGAAATCAAAACTGTTTTTGAAAGATCTAGCGAGTTATGCGATTTTCCTTTAAGCATTATTTAAGTAACTTTGGGGGGGGACATCACATTCTTCTCAAAACAAATGTGAGTAGTGTTCGTGCTGGATGGTTTATATATATTTGTGGATAAACTGCCACATTTTCATATTGTGGTTGTCCATTTACGATCCTGGATTCTTTACCTGGTTCCAAGCCTGGTAGTTTTGGCACTTCTGTTGCAGTGTATTTTTTTTTTTTTTCCCTCCTACTCTTATTTGATCACTGCAGGTCAGTGAAAGATTTGGCTGGCTGCTGCAGTGGAGTGGAAGTTTTATCTTAGCCTCCGGTATATGTTTCCGCCTGGTGCATGGGCTTTACTTCCTCCTCTCTGTGGTAGATGTTACATAAACTTAAATACATCCTTAGTGTGTTCAGAAGAGACCACATTTCCATTATGCATATGCTTCTAATTTTTATTTGTTGTTGTGAAAGCTGTAAAACAGAATGTGCTCTCTGTTGTGGTCATGTTTTGCCTTGCATGTGTGGTGTGCTGTTGCAGGTTGTATCTGTGCTAATTGTGCTTTTAATTTTGTAGGAAGGGGTGATAACACCTGAAATGATTCAGATGATTTTCTCTGATGACCCAGATCAGCAATTGATAGCAACTCAGAGATTTAGGAAATTATTGTCTAAAGGTAAGGGTTAGTTTATGATAAGCTGTGCAAGTTACTAATGCATTAGTGTCACTTTCTAATCTTTAATCATTGTAATGTTTAATAACACTTAAAAACAAACTTATGTTTTTCTCATTTTGTTAGTAGGCTCTTAGAAATCAGTTTCTTAGTTTTGACATCAAGTCTCTTTAATTTTTTGTATTTTAATGAGCAGAAAGTCAAGAGAAATGTTTTTAACTCAATACACTTTCAACCACAAAATGTCTAAAAGGATTTAAACGCAGTGTAATGTCATTTTTTGATGCATGAGCTAGTAGTTCTGATATTTAATCTTTTTATCTTTTAATCAGAGCCCAATCCACCAATAGATGAAGTCATTCTTACACAAGGAGTTGTAAACAGATTTGTAGAGTTCCTCAAAAGAAGTGAAAATTGTACATTACAGGTATGTTACTAGTAGTGACGACCTCTCTGCTATTTACGCTTTCTTGTTTTTTGCTAAAGGAGGCCAACTCCAAGTGTGCTTCGACTTTTACCACATTTAGCATGCTAATCCAAGTTGTCCACCTGGCCGTATATATTTATAATTTTGTGCGATCCTTTTCCAGTTTTTTTTTACAGTAGATGATGACTGGACACTAATCCTCTTACTTTAGCTAGTTCTAGTTTTAACACGCATATGGTTTTGTACTTTTGGAAAACAAGACTATGCAAAGTTCTATGCAAAATATGTCAGGGTCATCCAGATCTGTTTACACGTAGTTTAATATGCATGAGCATCTGTGTTGGGCCCTGCATGTGCACAACTCCAGGCAGCCAAATCCTGTAGTTTTGGTTGGTATTGTCTCCCGTACCTACTTTTAAGTCAAAAGTGCTGCTCTTGTTGCAACAGGCCATATATAGCTATGCATACACATGAGTAATTGATTTGCTAAGTTGTGGTATATGTAAACCTGTGACTTCTTCTTTTAAAACTTTTCATTTTACAGTTTGAAGCAGCTTGGGCTCTGACAAATATTGCATCTGGAACATTCCTACATACTAAAGTAGTTATTGAAACTGGTGCAGTCCCAATTTTCATTGAGCTTCTCTCTTCAGAATATGAAGATGTACAGGAGCAGGTAACTATTATATACACTTCTGTTGATGTCTCTATAAATTGTAAAGTCATATACTGTAGATCTCCAGGTAGTGACTGGAAACTATTGTAAAGTTTTTCCTGTTTGAAACGGCGGGTGTTTAGGAATGTAATACTGCACAGGTAAAGTGGGACAGACCCTGCATTTGTGGCAAGAATTTGGGTCCTGTGTCCACCATGATAGCAGCCTGACCTATGTATTGTGAACATTTATGAAGCTGGCATCCAAGCAGTAACTGAATTAATTTCACTTTATGCAGGCTATCGCACAAACTCTTGTTGCTCAAAAGCCAAACTTTACAGGTGGTATATTAGTGCCAACAGGATAAGTATCTGCATAAACCAAGATGGCAGCCAGACTTTTTTTTTGCAGCCTGTAGTACTAAAGCTTCTTAACTTGTTGGGTATAATTCTAGTTTGAGTTTTCCACTTGTTTACTTGAAGTTCATCAGTACCGTTCATGTGAGTGGGTAGGAGCTTGGTTGAATTCCTGATTGCTGTTTTCTAGTGAACTGGAAGCTTTCTTTAGGGAAAACTTTGCCTTAAGATATTTGTTTGAAGTGCTTTTCTGCATAACCTTTCTCAGGCAGTCTGGGCATTGGGGAATATTGCTGGCGACAATGCGGAATGCAGAGACTATGTGCTAAACTGTGGAATACTTCCTTCTCTTTTACAGTAAGCAAGCTATATCGGGCTTTGTGTTTATTCAGACAAACTGTTAGACGAAAAAGTTAAACATCTTCTAGAAACGGAGGCGACTTTTTAGCTTGGACAGTGTCACTTCTGGTTGTTAATGCATGTTTTTTATTTTCAGTAGTGCTCCTGTATTCCATGTATGGTAACAGATAGCACCCCTTGAGGCAGTTTAGATTCTTTTGGAAAAATTGTTTAAACTCATCTTATGGTTCAGTGTGATGAAATGTCTCGGCATTTGAGGAGGATTGTGTACACTTACAAAAATGAAATGCTCATTAAATGTATGTGCTGTTGGTCAAAATTGATGTAATCTGGGTAGTGATGGAAAAAATTATCAAACCTTTGAATGCAGTATTTTTATTAGTGTTAATAATGTTTTAACAGTGTTGTCACCCATAGACATTGACTTCTATTATTGTATTTTTAGAGTATGTGAATATTAATTGCCGCTTGCATACATTAATCTGACATTTGCCTTGATTTAGATTGCTGACAAAATCCAGTCGGCTTACAACTACAAGAAATGCTGTTTGGGCACTATCAAACTTATGCAGAGGGAAAAATCCTCCTCCTGATTTTACAAAGGTACGCGTCACAACAGCATCAAACTTTCTCAATTAAACAAAAGAAGCAAGTTCTTTGAGTTGAATTTTTTCCCAACGTGTCGGATGCATGGTGATAAATATTTCATGTATTTACATCTGGGGATCAAAGATGGATAAAAGCCTTGAACTTCACAAATGTTGCAAAGGCCTACATGAAAATGGTATTTTTACCTTGTGTGGTAAATTGTAGCACACCTCTGGACTAAAGATGTTGAATTCAATGTTAGTCTAGTATGAAAATTCCACTTCTTAATGCAGTTTGTATAACTGTTTTTGATTTAATAATACTACATTACAGAGTAAATAATTTGATAATTTGTCTATTAAAGAGTTAATTGTTTTGACCTTCGACAAAGATTATAACCTTTGGTACTAAATTTAATCTTTTATAATGGGGGGGCCCCTCCCTCCCTCTTTTTTTTTTTTTTATAGGTATCTCCATGCTTGAATGTGCTGTCAAGACTACTTTTCAGTAGTGATCCAGATGTTTTAGCAGATGCATGCTGGGCTCTGTCGTACCTCTCGGATGGACCCAATGATAAAATTCAAGCAGTAATTGACTCGGGCGTATGCAGAAGATTAGTGGAGCTGTTAATGTAAGAAGGACTATTTTATCTGTTTATATAAACTGTTAATGGTTTTGAAACCTTATTTCAGAGCAATGCTGTCCTTGTAGTACAGTACTTAAAAGTTACATTAATAGTAGGTCTTTCTTGTAAACGTGCTGTAAGTTTGAATTATTTTAATAAAACTCCCATTGTTGTTTCACAGGCACAGCGATTATAAGGTGGTATCTCCTGCTTTAAGAGCCGTAGGGAACATAGTTACAGGAGACGATATTCAGACTCAGGTAATGATGCATCAGACTAAAGGTATTTATTTTGAAGAAAATCTTTGGCAGTTAAGTGTTAGCGATTCCCCTGATTTCTTCTTTCCCTGAGCAACTAGGTAAAACCTCAGATCTAAAATAAAATAGGTTTGCCAAGGCTGCCAAAGAGTTTGTTTCAGGAATGTCCCAAAGCTTTAGAAATTAAGGACCTTGTTAAAAAAGGAAAGATTGTAGTTGCTGATAGAAAGTAAAAACGACAAAAAGAGTTGATGAGAATATGCATGGTGCGTTTGATACCCTGATGTAGTTTTTGAGCTGTAATAGTTTATCAATATTAATTTTTCCTAATGCCTCTAAAAAGTCTTTCATATTGCTTGGACTATAAAAGGGAGGTCTAAGTCCGACTTTTCTCAGTAGTGACATTTTTGCCTTTTCTTAATTCTTTGCTTTTAGCAATTGTGTACTTGCATTACTCTCTTAAAGAAGTGTGCAGAATAGTTTTCATTCTACTACACAAGGACATGGGACTAACAGTTGGCCTATCCTCTCGGTAGCTTCAAACGTCTAAAGACCAATGTCACTAAGCATTGCAATAATTTATCAATGGCCAGTGTCTGGAGAAAGGGAAGCTTTCATATAGAACCTATAGATTGAAAAATGCTTTACTCTGTTTACCTTTCTTTTTTTAGGTTATACTTAATTGCTCTGCTTTACCGTGTCTTTTACATTTGTTGAGTAGTCTTAAAGAATCTATAAGGAAGGAAGCCTGTTGGACAGTCTCTAATATTACTGCAGGAAACAGAGCTCAGATCCAGGTAATTCATTCTTTTTTGTCTCTTTGACTCCATTTTCTGGCAATAGGGTTTTCGAGTTGTTCCGTTTTCCCCAGCTCACTGATGCGGACATTGTGTCTGCCGGCAGTTTCAGCAGCAATATGGGTGGCAGATGTGAAATGAGCTCTCAGATGGACCAGTCTGTCAATCCTGCTCTGGTGTGCTCACTGGCGGGCAGCCTGATCTTGGACGGCTGTTTGTCTTGCCGGTCTGCTGAAACCTTCTCTGCAGTCGGGACACAGTGGGAGAGGCTTACTCTAAAGTGTCTTGCACGCTGGCACATGACATGCCTGCCTGCAGCATGCCAACAGTCCTCTCCCTTGCTTCTGGTGACTTGAGGCATTGCAGAATGCACAGAGAACCAAGTGTGGCCTTTCTTGTTGTAACCTAAGCTTTAAATTAAGGCCTTTTTAAAGGTGACCTGATCAGGCAGTGTTCCATCTGGACCCATCTGATCTGGTTAAAGTGCGCCTAACAAGCTTTTGTGTGATTGGGGAAGTTGCAGTGCCTCACTGCACAAGCCGTATTGCTGGTCAGGGGGCTTAAAACAAATTGACAACTTCTTGCGAAAGTACATAAGCTATGACTATAGCATTCTCATTCCAGGAAATGTCATGTTTCTTTTTTTTCCCCCCCATAAGTAAATACGGACCATCTATAAATATCTCTCTGCTGTCATGGTTTTCAGATACAAGTATTTAATAATTTGTCATTCCTCTTTCAGGCTGTAATAGATGCAAATATTTTTCCTCTACTAATTGAGATCCTCCAAAAAGCCGAGTTTCGAACCAGAAAGGAAGCAGCATGGGCCATTACTAATGCCACCTCAGGAGGGACCCCTGAACAAATAAGGTATGGTAATCTAACTCTGAAGGACGGTTTACCTCCGTGCTCTGGTCAAATGTAGAAAGCAAATTAGCCTTAAATTTCACTGCACAAAGGTGGTTGCTGAAAAGCAGGATGTGAAATATTGCATATGTAGTAGGCAGTTCTCATCAATATTGAAACTTTCAGCTGTTGCTTCATCCTAAACCGTTTTTCTCACCAGGTACTTGGTATCCTTGAACTCAATCAAGCCTCTCTGCGACCTACTTACTGTCATGGATTCCAAGATAGTTCAAGTGGCTCTAAATGGGCTTGAGAATATTTTAAGGTTGGGAGAGCAGGAAGCCAAACAGAATGGAACGGGAATCAATCCATACTGTGCCCTTATTGAAGAAGCATATGGTATGCCTTCTTGTTTTGTTTCCGGTCTTAACTTACTGTTGGTTTGTATGTGTAATGTGTTCTTTTAACCAAGCACCTGGTTAACAACATTAATTTGCAAGTGATTTTAAAGTGATTTTGCTACTAAACAAAGATTTAAAAAAAGAGTAACTGCACACTGAAATGCTGAAAGGCTTTTCATTTTATTAAACAGTTGCACACTAATGAATTAATTTGAAAATGTTTCATTCTCATTAGAAACTGTTCAAGAAGAAACATCTCTCCTGATCATGCACAGTGATGGGGGGGGGGGGAAACTGAAGTTTAAAGTGTGGTCTAAGTGTCTGTGTGCACTTTAGAATTCAGTGATGTTATAGTTTTCAAATCTAAAATGAGCGAAAAGTTTGCACATGCAGTGCAAGTGTTTAATCGCCGAAACATCCCCGTTTCATTAGATGCAGCAAAAGTATATTCATGATGAGGTGATTGAAATACCAGTATCTGGACCATGAATAATTGTGCAGTCCTATTTTTGTGTTGCACTAATTTTTAAGATTTGATTAGCATCTTGGCATTCAGCTGGCTTTTCCACAGGTTCCTCCAGCTGTCCAAAGGCATGCTATGCTGGTTGTATTAAATGGTGTCTCTCGGTTGTTCTCTCATGTGTATGTGTGCTCTGCTGCGCTTGCGTCTCATCCAGGGTTTCATCCTGCTTTGTGCCCGGTGTATCCCTAAAGGCCTATTCTCACTCCATCTTAGAGATGGTTTCTGACTATAGGATTTACCAGCTTTCAGCAAATTGAAATAGTATGATCATTCTACAACGTTATGCCCCTTTTCAGAAATAAAATTCCTCACAAAATACTGACTTATTTAGTGCATCTTTGAAAGAAGAAGAATACTCTCTATAGCTACAGTTTGTATGTCTATACAAATCTAGTTTGAATAGCTGCATAACATTGCCAACCTCCTGCAAAACATCGCTTACTGTTAAAACATTCAAGCTACACAGTGCAGTTGTTTGCAATCATTAATCAATCAAACAGGTTTTAATTATGAAATCTCTGGGATTTTCAATCCACTATCGCATTCAAGATAGCTGCTTTTTGCTTTTGCAGTCTGGCAGATTTTACGACCAGTTCCTCAGTCTTTATGAAAGACATCGGGGCACTGTACAATCTTGTGATTTAATATCAATTAAAACCTCAGTTAGTTCACCAATGTCGAGGTATTCCTGTATGTGTACTATGTATTCTTTTTTTCATGGGATTTTGTAATGAATTCTGGATTTGGTGGGTCTGAGCCACAGACAGTAGGAGGCCACTGCTGCACAGTGCAGCATATTAGGAATCTTCTTGCTGGCTTTAAAACAGGGAGGTACAGTATAGTAACATTTGCTTTAGTTTGTCACAGTGTGACTTTGACTTTGTGATTTAAGTTGTAGGGTTCATCTTGAATTTGGATGTTTGATAATTTGTGTGCTTATTTCCCTAGTTATGACCAGAACCTTACACTTCTGTCAACAAGTTGATGTGTGCATGACTTAAGGCAGTTATAGACCATGTATCTGAATAATTTCAGCAACAGAATCTTATTTTAAGATTCAAAATCACTCACTGGCCTGAGAAGAGATTTCTTTAACTCTTATTTTTAAAGAGTACTCCATTATACAGTATTTTAGCAGTAAGCTATGCTGTAGAACTTGCCAATTTTGGTTAAGGCTCTGGAAACTGGAATGTTGCAGGTTCATTCCATTGTTTAGGCATTCATTCATTCATTTCAAGGGAAAATAAAAACCTTGCAACTTTAAAAACGTCCCATAACTTATCTAATGAAGCACAACCTGCATCTTGTAACTATTGTTTTAATATTTCAATATCAAGTCATATTTTCTCCACTCTTATTAATAAACAAATTGGTGCTTCCAGAATGTTTGTGAGGAAAATCTGTAGGCCACCTTGTTTGTCCTGTAACCTAGGATAATACAGACAGAAATGGCAAAATACCAGCTGTCACGTATAATGTTACTCCTGCCCATTTTGTTTTGCAGGACTGGATAAAATTGAATTCTTACAAAGCCATGAAAATCAGGAGATCTACCAGAAGGCATTTGATTTAATAGAACACTACTTTGGTGTGGATGAGGAGGACTCCAGTATTGCTCCCCAGGTGGATGAGAACCAACAGCAGTTCATCTTTCAGCAGCAGGAGGCACCAATGGAGGGCTTTCAGCTATAACAACTACACAGTTCCCCAGCCCAGGCTTCCTGATTGTTTAAACTAGTGTGTCAGTTGCACAAGGCTGGCACCTGGACAGAAGGTTCTGTTTTAATTTAGTGGACTAAATATGAGGCAGCTCAGCACTTTTTTTTTTTGCTTTGTTTTTTAAAAAAATTCTTTAGGTCAACATGTACCTTTCATGTATTTAGTGTGTATATCGGTTTAAAATTGTTTCTCCGTATGTAATCCTTGCGAAAGGCAAGCGGAAACCAATTTAATTATTTAAGGTGTTTGTTTTTGGGTTTCCCCACCATTAATAATATAGTGAAACTGTTTGACACTGGACATTGGCCTCCAGCTCCTTCAGAGTACCAACTACCTCTTCTGTGAATCACTTCATTTGGAATGAATAATGTACATTTTGGGATGACTAAATTCCATATAAAGAGATGACATAGAACCATGCACAAAACAAACAACATAAGGTGGGTATACATTAAATTTCCACTTTTCGAAAGTTTTAAATTTAAGCATTTCTCATTCTCATACTTCATTTATTAATGCAAAATGTCTTATACAGTTATGAGATATTGCATCATTATTTTTAAATCAAATTATGCATACACTTGATGAGTTTGGACTCAAAGCTGCAGTTTGGTTTTTTTTAAGTTGGCAGTGAAGATTGTGACTTGTACAGCATTTTGACCACATTACATGATTGATATTTATTGTTTTGAAATATTTTTGACAAGTTATCTATTGCTAAAACATGCATATACAGCAGTACCACTAAACACTTGTTTGATGCAATGCGTTTGTGGGAAAAATGTATATTAAGGTAAAAGGGAGAATAGTACATGATGCACTCTGGCTTTTGTTTTCCAATGCCTTTTCTTTTCATGTGTATTTCCTCCATTAAGTAGAGCCTGTTTTTAGGTGTGTTTTGATTCTTCAAACCAGAGCTGCACTAAAGGAACTTCTTTATCAGTGAGTTTGGGGTGGTAGATTCATGTTATGATCTCCTCAGTTGGAAAATTAAGGAAGGAAATTTAAAGATGTACACAATCTTAAATGCTTTGCATTTTTGTATGTATACACAGAGGCATCATGGTCTCTGCCTACTTAATGATATGTAAGTAGAGGTAAGAAATGGCCGAAGAGTAGTTAGCGTGACAGTTCAGGAACTGTCTGCTGGCATTTTACTGTTGACATTCAATTGGTCTCCAGTTTTAGTTTTTTCTTTGGCTTCGGAACGGTTTTGCCATTTCTTGAAATATACACCAACACCCGACGTCCACCACTTCTCCCCCCCCAATATATGATGTTGCAGGGAAGGAAGTGGGGTTTACTTTTTTGTGCTATTTTCTTTTTCAGAAAAGATTTTCTATTTATGCTCTACACTCTAGGAATGATTTCTCTTCTCTTCCCCATTTCCCTGAATATAGCTGTAGTTATGGATTAAGACATGGATCTTGTAGGTCCTCTTTTGGGGGGAAGTTAGGGAAACACTTTCAGGAATACAACTGCTTAATGGGTGCAGGGCCGGGATGTAATGGGAAAGCCCCAAGATGCTGTAGGCTACCAAGGTACCGGTGGCCAATGGTCTGCTATGAAATACAGTCCTGGCAAAGTGCAACAGGGTGAGGTACAAGTGTAAAATTGTGGATTCAATGCACAATATCGCAGACATTGTGGTGTTCTGAAAAGTCATCTTTATTTTGATTGATCTTCCTTTTTAATTGTATTTTTGACCTATTGCTTTGAAGATAGATGTTCAATTATTCTGTTCTGTCAAAATTGGTTTCAAGGTGTAGCTATATTCTACTGGTAACATAATGGGAAAGCATATGAAGCATAATAAACAGTTTTTTCTTTTTTTCTTCATTATGGTGAAGGTTTTTCTGTTTCTTTTACATAACCTTTTTCATTTGTATTATTCTTTCAAATAGAACCATTTGGGTAAATGTGAAAATGTACTGTACATACTTCTAAGCTACATAATGCAACTTGTTAACTGGGTTGTAGTCACACCTGGTATACCTCACTTTTGAAGTGTTTAATTTAATCTATATATAGCTCAGTAACAAAGCAAAATGTTAGTTACCATGTTTTTACATTTTTGTTTCTTAAATTTTATGGAAATTGAGTGTTACCAGGTAATAACTATTGTATGTGCACATTGCATTTCAACATTAATATGGATTTACCTTTTAAAACTAATTTATTACATGCAAATCGTTTGGTATGTAAAAAAAAAAAGGTACAGACTGCTCATTATCCTTGCATTTTGAACATTGGTAATTAAAGTTTAGGACAATTGGTAATCAAAATCCAGAAGTTACACTAGTTACACTAAAATATGTAATAAGTTTGCAACAAGCTATGTTATGCTGTTGAATAGCCTTTTATGTGAATCAACTCTTTTTTTTTTTTTAACACCCCTGTTGATCTTAAGTTTTTGTGCATGTATACATGTATATTCTGACAAGATTGTTAAATGGTTTGGTCATATTGGGGGAAAAGTCCTGATATGCGGAATCAAAATTTTCTTTGACTTGCTGGATATACTTAGTCGTGTATCTTTTTTTTTTTTGTTTCCAAAATGCTTGAGGTACGTTTTGTTTTGTTTTTTGGCTTTAAAACTTTGCTGTCCTAGTCCTGCCCCAAGACTTGAGCTTGAAAATGATTGTGCGGACTGTGTTGTCAGCCAGTTAAGATCCTTAATTAAAAAAGGCAGTCCTATGGGAGAGTGGTAATTTATGTATATGTAATAAAGAAATTGGACACCATCAAAGTATGTTTTACAAAGGAATGTTAATTACACAAGCTGTAGAACAATATTTTTGCTTACTGATGGAGAGGAAAGCTTATGTCTACCAGCTTCTCAATGGTTTGGTTCTTCTGTGTAATGGTTTTTACCCCACTATTTAAGCCCTGCTGGTCAAATTACTCAGTACTTCTAAAATGTGTTTACTGCCCAAAGAATAGCATCTTATCACAGTCATTCCCTCATTGGAAAAAGGCAGCCTTTTGAGGGATGAAAAGGGTATAAACTATAAAAAGTATTACACCTGTCTCAAAATTAACTATACTCACTGTCTAAAATCTTAGGAGCTCAAATGCATGTATTGTACTCTGTGACAGGAAATGCACATTGTTTTAGGAGCCCATGGCCAAAACAATCTCTCGCTCAACAATCCCATTGAAAGCTGTATCAGATTTTCCACCCTGTTGTACCCCATAGCACTCAATAAAACCCTACCTGAAGGAACCTGCTACCACCATTTGGATGGGTTTGGCTGCAGACGTTTCACAAACTTGTAGAAGACAGGCCACAATCAATAATTTCACAGAAGCTTGCCATTTGCTCAGGAATCTTAATTCAATTGAATAGTGTATGTCGTTCTTAACTGTAGCAAGAGAGTGTGTACAGTGTACTCGGCTACTTCTTCCCCCCTGTCCTTGCCAGTTTTGTGTAGATGGGAGGTCAAATTGCCAAGGAATCTATGCTAACTTTTGTAGTTTCTGTGATTACCTTCACCATTCAGTTATAGCACCAGTTTTTTTTTTGTACATTGTCAGTTGTTGTGCTATGTAAGACATTTTTTGTCCATTTCCAAAGCAGTGAATGCAAAAATATAAGTAAATTTTCTTTCCTAAAAGTAGTCTAAGATTTTATTCAAAATACCAAATTACAGTTCAAAGGAAGTATTTCATTTGAAAATGCAAGTGTGTATGTGTATACAGTGTATATATGGTGTGATCCTGGGAACTGTGCTTCTAGTACATAGCCTACTTATATGCATAATAGAGGAGTGTGCAACTCTGGTTCTGGAAAACCATAATGCTGTAGGATTTATAGGTAGCAGCAGAGATCTGTAAAGTTTAATGTCTTCTAATAAGGCAACAGAATGATTTAATTCAGTGAGTTAAAGCTCAGCTGCGATAAAAAGCGGAAGACACTATGGCTCTCCAGGCCCAGAGTGACAGACCTGTGGTGTCATAAAAGTAATTGTGTTTTTATATGGCTGCCTGTCACCCCAGTGCTACAACATGCAGTTACTGGTTCTTGGAAGCAGCTGTGTTTATGAGCTGTTGCTGCTCATGCTTGGCTTCTTCCTTCCATTTGGCTTTTTTGGCAAGATTCCAGCTGGTGAGAGTTTCATGGCGTTCTGCAGCCTAAAGGGACAAATAGGTGTAAAAACACCTCACACGCTACATTTTTCACAGTCACTGTGCAATACCTTTATGTAACTACAATTGTGGGTCATATTAAATCTGTTTGGTACAAAAGGTTTACAGAACAGTAACATTCTCAGCTGGAAAAATTAATGTAATACACATTATGCAGTGTTAATCTGCTGCAATTTCTTTTTTTCTGTTCGCATTTAATTTTAAATTAATGCAACCATACAAATATGATCAAATGAAATACCCCATCTCTGCGCAGCTCACTTTAAACCTCCACACACCCCCCCTCCCCACACGAATAACTTGTTTAAAACCCATGATCCAAATCCAGTCATGTTTACCTCTGGCCCTTAAGAGTTCTAATAATACAGTCTGTGAGGGCAAGAATCCAGTGTTGACAACAATAAGATGGACGTCATTGGTGTAGCAGCAACTGTTTCTCACAATTAAGCCACTGCAGAGATTTCACACACTGTGTAGCAGATCTCAAATTGAGAAAACTGGTCTGCCTTTAACATTCAAGAAGATTATACAGTATACTTCTAAATAGAAATGGCCATGGAAAATTCATACCTGACACTGTACAGTATGGTTTGTAACAAAGGCTACAAATGTGAAGAGGCTATTAAGCCCACCTTGCTTGTGTGATGCCTGCTAGCAAATGAATCATCTCCTACCCGTTTCCCGGAAGCAATCATCACAAAGCAGGCAACGACAGTCATTCCAATCATGATGTAGCAGATCTTGACACGGGCTTTGTTTCTGGCCGTTGCCAGCATTTCAAACCTAAATTAAAATAAGACAATTTATAGTAAAATATTTTCTAGTTCGTTGCATAAAATACTTTAAGGCACTTCTTTAAGTTCCACGCAAGCCCACTTTGTGGAGTGCCTGGGATATTGCTTGACCCACAGACATTTATTCCTGTCTCAGCTATTGAAATATGTCCAGTAACTTCCTCAAATTTGCCATTAGCCTAATAACAGTGGCAAACCTGACGAGTTTTCTGCTTAACAGGATGTTCAATTTGGTGGGACAGCTTAATGTAGTCAATGTCTGGGTGCTTTCTACTTCTAAATGGTCAACTTCACCATGATCAAAGAGCTATTAAGGAACTTTGAAATGTTTCTATACCCTTCTTCTGATCTGTGTCTTTATACGACTTTATCTCCGAGTTGTTTTGAATGTTCCTTGGTGTTTGTAGTTGAATCTTTGCTTAAATTCATGTAGAGGTGTATTTATTCTGGAATCATGTGAACCACTATTATTACTCATTTAATTTCATGGCTCTTTGATAATTTAATAATTTGGTAATTTTGTGCACCTAAATTAATTGTTTCCCACAGCAATGGGTTTGAATACATACACATTCACAATTTTTCAATATTTCTTTCATATTATCTACAGTATATATGTCTTTCTGTTTTTTTTTATTTTAAAAGAAAAATACAGTACTTTCAAAAGTACAATATAAAAAATGAAGAACTTGTGGCTACTGCATTCAATGTTAACTATAAGATTATAGGAACAACTGAACTATTGTTAAGGTAGAATGATGGCTTTGGCTTAATATTAATTTTAATGACTCAAGCAGTTTGGAAAGAGTGGTGGTTGTGCGGTTTTGTGGAATTAAAATAAATAATCAAAAATGATCTCCATCCAAGAGAACTAAAGGAAAACAGTTAAGCAGTTTAGAGACCACCTAATGCCTACCCACAACCTTTCAGCTGCAGAAATATCTTCTCTGTTTTGTCTATTTCCTTTCCTCGATACCCTCTTTATTCTGTCACATAGGAGCCTGCCAGACCACTAATGCTCCACCACCTCTTTTTTGCTTTTGGAGGGACATGGGGGTGTACATAAAACTTTGCTTTGAAACGGACGCCGGCACTGATGCTGACTCATTCCCATTCAGAAATGATTCCACTAAACCCTTCTTCAACCTCATTCAAAACAATGTTCTTTTGACCCATCATTTCCTGAATTCTCCACTCTAACAGGTTGACTTGGAATATTGGTAAAGCTTTCATTAAACTTTTCATATAACATTTATTAATTCAAACTGCTAACTGTACCCTTGTCATGTTCTACTTATAGTCTTTGTGACGGGGGTCTCTCTTAATTCTTCACAACAGCCTCATCCTCATGGACATACTGTCGTTCTCTTGGCCAGACTGGTTACTGCCGATAAAGCAAACTAGTTCAAGTGATGCCTCTGTTCTGCTTAAACTTAGGAGATGTGCATGTAGGGAAATACTGAAATTACATTTTAAACAGAAGTTTGGGAGGAGGTCGAACCCTAATCTTACCCTTTTCCACCTACATACACTGAAATCTCATGTTTATAGCTTGTTTGTGCATTTTGCATCCTTTCTTCTGCCCCACTTTGCCTTTACAGCACTTCCCTTGTTCATCTCTTTTAAGGGGAGGTAGGAGGTTGGTTCTGACAGCTGTGCCCTCAAGGCCAGGTTGTCAATTTCTTAACCAAGAAAGTATGCTAATAAAGCCAAATGCCGCCTCTGCTAAACCTTAAATTAGGGTAACACTGAACCACTGAAACATAATTCAAACCACTGAATGTAGAAATGAGTGGAATGAATCAGAATCAAGAGAGTACTCTAGAGCCCAACATTCAATATCAAGAGTAAACTTGGAAAAAAGTGCAAAAGGTATTAGAATTACTAAAGAGAGACAGAAAATACTGCCAAAAAATATTTCAGTTAAAACTAAACATGGTGATGTCATAATACAGGATTAATAATTAAAATGATAAAGATATAGATATTCTAAGTGAATATTTAACACAGGCTTTTACAGCAGAAGACATCAATAATATACCCCATGTTATAGAAGAAGCTCCATAGCTGAGAATAATTTTAGTATCATTATCTGGGGTGGCTTAAAACTAAGAAATCACAAATGTTATTTTCATATTTTTTGTCATACGGATTTAAGGAAACAAGAGTTGCACTTTTAAGTGTGATAATCTACGAAGGACTGGAGCTCTAATCAACAAATTCAGTAACAGTAAGAAATTCATAAAAAGGGGACAAAAGTGAACATGTGAACACCCAGATGATGCGACGGCAGCCATAGTGCACCAGAACGCTCACCACACATCAGCTATCAGTGGGGAGGAGAGCAGAGTAATGAAGCCAATTCATAGATGGGGAGTATTAGGAGGCCATGATTGGTAAGGGCCAATGGGAATTTTGGCCAAGATGGTGGGGTTACACCCCTACTCTTTTCGAGAAATGCCCTTGGATTTTTAATGACCACAGAGAGTCAGGGCCTCGGTTTTACATCTCAGCCAAAGGACAGTGCCTGTTTACAGTTTAGTGTCCCCGTCACTATACTGGGGCATTAGGACCCACACAGACCACAGGATGACCGCCACCTGTGGCCCCACTAACACCTCTTCCAGCAACAACCTTAGTATTTCCCAGGAGGTCTCCCATCCAGGTACTGACCAGGCTCACACCTGCTGAGCTTCAGTGGGCTGTCAGTTGTGAGTTGCAGAGTGATATGGCTGTTGGCTATAAAAAATATTTAGACAAAGTCATGGATTGGGCAGACACTTGGCAAATGAAATTTAACATTAAGAAAAACAAAGTGATCCACCGAGTTAGCAGTAATATATACTATTGTACACTACTGTATATCATATGGGTGATTCTGAACTGCAGAAAAACTTTATTAAAGGAATTTGAGCTAAGATTTTTAAATGTCCTCATTAAGACAATGTGAGCAAGTGAGAAAAAGCTCAGAGGATGCCTGGTTTTCTAGCATGAAGTGTGGATTTTAAATCCAGAGAAATTATGCTCAGGCTTTATAAACAATTTTACCAAAGATTATATTGCAGTCTTAGATTCAAAGAGCAGCAACAACAATGATTCCTGGTTGCAAGAGATTGTGATATAAAGATAGCTTGTTTTAGAATAAAGGTGACTGAGGCAAGACATGATGCAAATACTGTACATAAAATGTTAATTTTAATTTCAGATAGTTACCCAGTGGGACTATTTCACACTCAGTAGTGAAACCAAAACATATTATAATATTGGGGAATGAAAAGGGAATTAATTTAGGACAGAAGACTAGAAAGGTCTTTATACAAAGCGTCATGAGTCTCTGCAGTAGGCTTCCCAGCTAAGTGGTTTGGGCGCAAACCCTGGTCACCTGCAGGAAATGGAGAGATGAACCGAGATGCATGTAAAATTACAGTTTTAATGACCAAAATTACTCATGATCCAGAAAAGGGACACAGAGTGAGTGCAGATTTGCAGATGCACTCATTCAACCAGCTCATCCATCAAAGTTATTCATCTTTTGATGGCCCTTAACTCTTTGAAACAGAACATAATGTTAAAGTTGTCTTGAAACTGAGTTGAAATGGCATGCAAATTGAGTACTAAGCCTTTACTAGACTGATATTGTTGCTTTATTACTATGCCGGGCTACAATGCAATAAGCATTGTGTTACATAAATGTAAAATTATTAAAAAAAATATCTGGACTAATTATTTTGCATTTTCTGATGATTCACAGTTATCCATTTTTACAGCAGTGACCAGATTAAATTACTATATAACCCTAGTTTGCATTCACCACCAATCTAACAGTAAAAGGAACAGTACACATCTGATTATCTATTTAATCTGCAGGCTGCCCAAATTAAATTAGGGTTCATTTAACAGCATTATGAAGACAATGTTGACTGCATACAGTATAAGGTTGGCAGTAAATGGTAGGTTCAATTGAAAGTGAAATGTATTCGAGGTGTTTTTATTTTAAAAACATTTGATACAGTATATGAGTATTCAGGCCCTTTGGGATAATTCAGCAGCACCATCTATTTAGTTAACCCACTAATGACTATCTATGACAAACCAAAACTCAAGAAACATGGGCCACTGGAAGCCAGCTCCTTTGCTAGCTGAACTACTTAGTGGACTGAGTTACTTCTTTTTAAGGTAGAGCCCTCCCTTTTTATTTTTGAATTAAAAAAAAATACTATCTGAATGCCTTCATTATAAAGTCTGGCTTTCTAAAAAAAGTCCATTAAAATAATCATTTAATTAAATATTGTTCCTAACCTTAAATTAGCTTTTCGATTTAAACTTAAAAAACAACTTAAATTCCCAGTGGTAATGATGCAGAAAATATTCTTATTTGGTAAGGCTGCAACCACTACTTGCAGGGTAGGCAACAACAACAGGAAATAAAAAGGTAAAGATGTAAAAAGCAGTGTAAAGATCTGAAAGTGTTTTCTTTCTGTAAAGTATTCCTGCGCGTACCCCACAGATAACAAATGTAAGTTCCGTGCAACTAATAGCTCTACTGTTTTTTTTCTTATCAGGATTACAGTGTTTTCTGATGCAATACAGCTATCAGCTACAGTGTGCCAACAACTGTCTTCTCACTAAACCCCAAGGGTCTAGTCATTTTGAAAAATATATGATTAGTATAAATATTTGCAAAACATCCAAGGATATTGTTTGCTACTAGCTGTGCCCTGCAAATCTTTATTTGTATCTCTGATCCATTCCAAGATTCATTCCCACGATCTTAAGGCACTACTGTCCATCTCATCCTCTGTGAGGTATAAAAAGTATATTTCATTCATGGTCAAACAGATTTAAAAAAATATAAATATTTTCAAACCAATGTTTTACTTTAGTTCACTAAGAATGACAACACCCAAGATGAAAGCGCCGTGGAGCGAAATCGTGGCTTAACCCGCTTGGCTGAGGGCTGACCTCCTGGCTGGGACTGGGACAGGGAGACCAGGACTCCCATGCAGGGTGACCAAGGGGAAGCCGCAGAGGTGGAGATGGGGTGGAGGTGGGATGCGAGAGATGTGCAGGAGAGAGAGATAGGGATCTCGTAGGTATTTTTAGTGTTTTAGAAGAGGAATGGATGTCCTGGATTGGAATGGAATCGATTGCTCATTGCTGACAGCTGAATCTGATTGAACCTGGTTGTTGTCATCCCTCCCGAACTTCTGTTATAAACTCCATGAATCTTTTTTTTTAAGATGTAATACCAGATGTTCCCCAGCGATGACAGTGTTTTCATGGACTTGCTAGATGTTCTTATATAACAGCGATTGTAACAGTTTCCAGCATTAAGGGTAAATTAAACTGTGGAATAAACACTTAAGGAAAGCTTAAGTTATTTGGATGAAGTCTGTAGTTTTACTTTTCTGTCTGTAGCATTGTAGGTAAAGACGGATACACCACTGTGGATGAATACACCGCTGTATTTATCTGTAAGGTATCCAGCCCTACAGGACTCCTTTCTGTATCTGATAATCTTCTAGGGTAATCTTTATTGACTCTGATATAAACAGACTTCTAAATGGAAAGCATTTTGAGAAAGCACTTTTGAAAAGTGCTATACTATATAAATGTAACAAATTAATTAAACTGTCTCTCTTGAAAGGAAATATCAAAAGCTATGTATGGTATAGTATTTTTATAACTTTACATTTCTTTTCCACATTTAATATACAGCAGTAGTGTTCTGGAAATATGCACATATACTGTACAGTATCAGTCTTCGAAATCCCTTTTTCCTGACAAGAGTCGTGCAACCTTGATTCTATTCCCAGAAGACAGAAGGCAGGTCTATTCCCTGGATAACAAAATACATGGCACACACAGGGATCATTTAAATGCACCAGTTACACCATATAGCCTTTGTCTGGGAGGTAGAAGATAGTTAGAGCACCCAGGGAAAACCCATGAAGACAAACAGAAAAGGGCACCCCAGTCAGGAATCGGACCCAGGACTCAAGAGCTGTGAGGGCACTGCTAAACACCATTCCACCATGCTGCCCTATATGCATATTGAAGAATGATTTGAGCCTTAACATTTACCAAATGGAACCTGGCAATAACAAAATCCTATGAGTATTTTCATGCTTAATGCTGCAGCTTCCTGTGAGATTTACCATATAGATCTGAATTCGAGAAAACTCAGTGTGTAAGAACACATTCTGTACATCAACAATTCCCTGCCAGCCCCTATTCTTACACCATCTTACCCTGTTGTGTTAAATTCTACGAAAGTAAACACATCAAAATACTTTTTAATTTTAAATTACACCTAGAAATTCAACAAGACGCTCCAACCTGTTTCCTAATATTACAGAATAATGACTTAGAGCAATGGAATTTATGGTAACTCACGATACAATGGCAGGTATATCATCTTCAGTTTTGAAACGGCCAGACCACAGAAGTATTTTTTTATCAAATCTGGAGGGTTTATAGCCAGGAGTCCTATGAACTGATACCAAGAAAAAGTTTTTTTAGAGAGAACAATAAAAGAAAAAGTGTGGTGAAGAAAACAACACTTTTTAAATAATTTGTAACTCTTTGGAAAGACAGTGTGGAAAAAAAAACTAACAGAATAATGTTTTTTTTCCAAAATGACACAATTACCAGAGTAATACAGAAATAGAAGGGTAAAACTAATACATGAGTAATGAAAGTACATGAAAATAAGTCTGAATTTCCTCCTTATGTATTATAATATTAGTTTAGTTTGAAAACAGTAAGGAGAGTGAATTTAATCTGCTGCGACTTTCCGTTTAATTAGCTCACATCGCATCAGCAATATTTTGATGCAAAAAAGTAGACAATTAAAAAGTTACAAATATATATGAACTGATTTGACACAGCCTTCGATGAAAAACAATGTCTTGAGTCAGCACTTTTGTTAACAATATACAGTACATAGAAATATTTTGATACATGCCAAAAAAAATATAAAATAGTTGCAGACAATTTACCTGGATCTGTCCCTTCTGGTTTAAGAACAATTTTGTCACAAGGTTTCTTTGCATTGCTGGTGTAAAGACGCATTTGATTGTTGAATGTGACCCTTGCACAAATAAATCTTTTCACCCTGCTGAGCAGGAGCTCAGGAAAACTGTTTAGAGTTGTGCTCAGCATCGCAGCAGCCTTTGTTTCTCCAAAGTCACTTTGATGTTACATCTGTATTTATAGGCAAGTCCGCTGGCTCATGACATCAGTACAGACTCTGAGAACAACAGCTCTAGTTCAGCAGGTTTCGTACTGTATATCAGCATGAAATTACCAATTAAACAGATTAAGACGCGTAGTGTAGTGGGTAAGTCTCTGATCTCTCGACTGGTGAGTTGTGGGTTCAAGCTTCCACTGCAAACTGCTGTTGTATCTGGAGCAAACTACAGCACTTTACCCCAATTACTCCAGTTCACCTACTGTAGATGTATACTGTAAATAAGCATTGCTGGGGAGTCTTCTGCTTAATGCCATGGAAACCTGAGTTACCAAAGTGTGGTATTCATAACTAACCTAACCTAATCACATGGCACTACTGCCCTTGTAGAGCCCTGGCCTCTTCCAGCTTCCTTCAGGCTTTTGACTGAAGACTCTCTGTACCCCTCTGAAATCGCCTGTCCGCTCTAGATGTCCAAGCCAGTGTAGTCCTGCTGCTCTTACCTCTGCTTGTTATTGGGGGATCCTCATACAACTCGTAGAGCTCAATGTTGGTTTTTATTCACTACTCTCCTCCTTCCTGGACTGGCCTGTAGATCTTTCAGAAGATCTTTCTCTCCCACGTATAAAGGAGTTCCACATCTCTCTTTGTCAGTACCCATGTCTCCGCTGCATATGTAGGTAACCACAGGGCTGATAACGGTCCGATATATCATCTTCTTTATTCTCCTTGACAAAATTCTGGCCTCATCAGATCCTGTACACTAAAGTAGCATCGATTTCCTGCATTGATTCTCTCTCTAATTTCCAGGCTGTTTTCATTTTTCTCGGAGATCAGCGAACCCAGGTATTTAAAAGTACTGACTTTCTTGAACTGGTAGCCCTGGATTTCGAGCAGTGCAGCGCCGGTGATGGTGCCCTTCCTGGTCATCACCATGTATTTGATCTTCGCCATATTGATGGTCAGCCCAGTCCTGGTCAATGCTTCTTCCAGCTGAATAAAGTTTTCTTTAAGTGTCCAGATGTTCCTACCCAATAAATCGATATCATCCACATAGGCTAAATATGGCCCAATCTATTCAGTAATGTTCCTCCTTTGTTGATATCGATGTTCCGTTTCACAGATTCTAGAACTAAGTTAACTAATAAGCTCGAGAGCGCATGTCCTTGTCTAAGGCCTTGTCTCACCTGAAACTCGTGTGATTCCTGGTTCTGCACCTTCACCTAACCATTTGTTTTGGTCATGGTCATCTTTACTAGCCTGATCAACTGCCACGCTACTCCGAGCTGTCCTAGTGTCTGGTACAAGTATGCTCTATCAACACTATCATATGCTCGCTTATTATCTATGAATAGTTTATGAACATCAATGTTATATTCATAGCACTTCTCTGAGATGCATCTGATAGTGAATATATGATCCGTCGTTGACTGATTACATCGAAACCCACACTGGGTGTGTCCAAGGACTTGTTCAGCGTGGGCTTCTAAACGACTAGCTAGCACTTTTGGGAAAACCTTATACGCAACGTTCAGCAGGGAGATCCTGCAGTAGTTCAAGCAGTCTAGTTTTGACCCCTTTTTGTGAATGGGGCAAACAAGGGTAATGCTCCATTAGTCCCATTAGTCTGGTATATTTTTTCCCCCAAAATTATGCTTATGATCTTGTACGATGTGTCCGCCAGTTCTTCTTCATCATACTTCAGCATCTCAGCCGTTATCGCATCTTCCTCTGGCGCTTTATTATTCTTCATGTTCCTTATAGCTTCCTTGAATTCAAAGACAGTAGGTGGGGTTCCAACATGATTCTCTCTCAGTGGTATCTTCATCTGCTTCCTCTTCTTCTCCTGTCTCATCCATCTCGCCGGCGTCATTCAGCAATTCTTCAAAGTACTCTGCCCATCGCTCTAGTATCTTTCTTCCATCACCAATCAAATTCCCTTCTTTGTCCACGCACATGGCCAGTCTTGGTTGAAAACCATTTTTATTTTCTGTTATCTTCTGGTACACTTTTCTCGTTTCCTTGTTACGGTATAACTCCTCAGTTTCCTGTAACATTCGATTTTGCCATTCTCTCTTCCTATATCTGCATAACCTCTTGGCTAATGTGCGTTTTCTGGAGAACTCGGCAGTGCTGGTTCTCGTAGGTCTTTGTAGCATTTTCTTCCTTGCTTCGTTTCTTTCTCTGATCGCTACCCTACACTCATCATCAAACCAGGTCTCTCTCCTATTCACTACTTGACGCCCTACTACCTCCTCAGATGTGTGCAGAACCACTCTCTTAATTACGCCCCATTCCTCTTCAATACTAGAGTTTTGTATCTTTCGTCACTCTTCATTAAGTTGATCTTTCACCATTTTTTGATATTCTTCAGCTTTTGTCGGATCTCTTGCCACTATTTGCCTCTTGTACTTTCAGTTCTTACTTCCTCTTTTCGTCTTTAAGATGTACATTCATTGTCGGTATTTGATCTTAACAAAAAAGTGGTCCAAATCGATGTCGGCCTCACGATAGCTTCAGACATCCAGTATGTCAGATACATGCCTCGTGTCAATCAGTGCATGGTCAATCTGGTTCTGTGTAGCTCCATCAGGTGACCCCCATGTTGCCGTGCGGATGCACTTATTAGGGAACCTTATGCTACTTATGGTCATTCCTTTGCTCATTGCAAAACTGATACATTTTCATAAATCCATTATCATTGGTCTCGGCATGCAAGCTCTCTTTCCCTACGGTGGGGAAATATCTCAGAGAATGATCTTAACATCATGACGTGGTGCTTCATCATATGCTGCCTCAAGGTCATTATAGAAACTCTCTTTTTCTGCATTTTCGTCTTCTTCTACAGGGGCTTGCACTCATATCAATATTACATTAAACATCCTCGTCTTGAGACGTAAAGTGCAGAGGCATTTGTTCCTGGCTCTATAAGCAATAACTGCACTGTTATACTCTTTCCGGACCACAAAGCCGGTACCAAGCATATGGGTCTTACTACCGCTATAGAAAAGCATATAGTCTTTGCATTGCATTATATCGCTACCTCTCCATCTAATCTCCTGTAGTGCCGCTATTCCAAGTTGTACTTGTCTCGCTCATATACTAAGCTTCTAAGAGCCCCCTCTCTATATAGACTGAGAACTTTCCAGGTCGCCATCCAAAGATAGTATCCTTTTCCTCGCTTTGGTTGATTCCTAGGATCAGGCCGGTTTCCGAGGCTTAGTTTTGGTTTCGTAACATTTACTTTTTACAGGATGGGGTAGTTAGTCCCACGCCCAAGTGTGATGGAGGGGCTGCCCCCTTAAAGCGTTCGCACTAAATTGTTTTCTGTTAGGGTCATCTCTCTTAGCCTTTGAGGATCCCTCCTCTATCCACAAGCCAGTGGATCCCTGTTGGTCCGTGGGCCCTTATTCTGCATATTTGGGCCACCCCACTGTTATGGTGGGCTCCCCCATCCGCCACAAGGGGGATGCGCTTTCTAGGGGTTAGAGGGTCCCCCGAGAGTGTGGTATTCATAGTCTTTAAAAATTTAGGGGGCCTTGTAAGACTCTAGACTACTGGTTGGAGGTCCTTGCTGTAGATTATTGTAGCGGCACAAGTATAACAATCAAATGATAACAAAGTATTGGATTATCCACCCATTTTCTAAGTGCTTTATCCAATATTTGGTCATGGGGGAGCTGGAACCTAACCAAGAAAGCACCAGACGCTAGGCAGGATACATCCTGAATAGGACACAGACACGAACACACTCCAGGGACAATTTTCCCAGAAGCCAGTTACTCTACCAGTATGTCTACCATTTCGTTTTGGAAGGAAATTGGAGCAGCTGGAGCAAACGCACATTAACATGAGGACACATACTAACTCTACACAAATAGCTCCCTAGGAACTGAACCCAGGGCATCAGCTCTGCGAGGCAGCAATGCTAACCACTACACAATTGTGCTGCCCCGTTTTGGATTGTCAAGGGCAAAAGCATAAAACTTTTAGGGGTCTTTAATTCAATTCCTGTAGCCCTGGAGTCTTTTGCTTTTTGTTCTGCGTCAGGTTCCGAGGTACTTTATTTGACCTGGAGACACCTACTTACATACCTACTACATGAATATGTAGCTTAACATGAGGTGAATAACAAAATGTATACACAACTTATATATAATATTATATATATAATACCCTCACACCTGAAGAAGGCTCCACAGCCAAAACGTTGTGTTTTCTCCCTTCTCTTTTCAGCATGGAATAAACCTATTACTTGTTCCCTTATACAGTATATAATATTATATAATGCTGAGTAGAAAGGAATTTAACACAACAACAAGAATAATAAGTGGAAAAAAGAAACTCCATTTTACCATTTGGCATTAAACTGGACAAAAAGCAGCATAGAAAAGGGTTAGGAGTACAGTCAGGAAGAAATTAAAAGTCACATTGTAATTTGCCCATTGGAAATAAAACAAAGAATAGGCTGAGCTGCTCACTTACAGGAAGCTGTATTGTAGGTGACATACAGTACACATATTGTCTTCCTTAACAAAAGTCATACTGTAGCTCCCCCAGGGTTCTCAAAGATGTGTTGGCTACCGTTGAGAAAAGTCTTGAGAAGAACAGAACAGCAGGGAAACCTGTGTTTCACTTCTGTTCAGGTAGTATCCCTGTGGCTTTCTGTAATCAAGTGTTTTCAGCCTTAATAAAGATGCTAATTCCTGTTGTTGCAGCTTAATGTTTTGCCATCTTAAGTAAAGCCTCTTATTTTCACTTCTTGCCAGTAGATGGAACTATAAAAACAGAAATGCAATATTTTCAACACAGGTGCCTGTTAGTGAGCTGTGCACTTGTGCAGAAGATATTGCTGTTGCCTCAAAGCTCTTGGATCCTGGGTTTCATTCTGGACTGGGGTGGATTTTGCATGTTCTCCCCATGTGTTTGGGTTTTCTCTAGTTTCTTCCTGCATTCCAAAGGCAGGCAAGGTTAATGCGTGTCTCTAAAATGCCCTTGTGTGCTGGTGTACTTTAGTGTGTGTCTCTGTCCATCCCCCAATCCCCTGTGTTTTTTTGGCTCTGGATTGCTGTTTCAGGGCTGTTAGTAAAATAAAATGTCCCTATTAGCTGTTACATAAAAGGGAGTGAAACTGAGGACCTGAACAACAACATTCTTTGACCAGTACAAAACCCCCTATTAACTGCGTTCATCAAAAGCGTTTAGTAAATGGATTAAAGTTTAAAAGGAGAACGTATTTCCTCCTTTATTATAACTCAGAAATGTTAAGCATTGAAATGTGCAAGTTTCTAAAAGACACAACACAGCGTATATATATTATTTAAATAGGTGTGTTCTTTAGTGGAAATGCAGCCAATATTTTCCTGGTAACAAACACATTTTGTGTATTATTTTTAATTTTTCTTCGCAGTTTCAGACAGTTGAAAAAATACAGTAAATATTGGTCCCCCCAGACCATTTGGGACGTATTCAAAGTTAGCTGATGTGGGCACTTACAGTTCTGCTTTATTTCGCAGTCAGTTTTGTTTAACAACATGTATCCTGATACTGATGCTATAAAAGAGGCTCCGAAGTTGAAGCCGTCGTGTGAATAATTTATCATATTTTATGTGTACGGATAGTTTTTATCTAGCACGCAGTAATCTTTCATGTGATGTGCATCATTGATTCGTTTATGTGCTTCTCTCATTCCTTAAATTATTGCTTTATGCGAGAACGTGGCAATTATTATGTAAATTGGTATGAACAATTAAACCGCCGATTCCTGGTGAGTGAGGAGGATCAATTAGCTACTGTATACAGTATATTTTGGTTTTATTTTGCGGTATCCAAAATGTCACGAGGTTTCCTCATTCAGTTTTAATAATCTTTCTTCTCGTCCGTACTTCCACAGCATACCGTTTTATTACTCAAGTTATATAACATATTTATATTGTATATTTCCCCTTATTTCCCCCTCTATATTCAACTCTTTCATATCACCGTTAAAACAATTCTTCATTAACAAGTACGATTTTCCCGAGCTCCTCAAAACTTAAAAGGCATTTTGTTGAAAATAAAGAACAAATCCGTGTATTGTTAATTATTCCTTATTAACGCTCGCAACACTTCCTAAGCAACTCCTCAATTTGGCAGTTTGTAAAACAGCTAAATGCGGGACAGATTCACAACAGGAACTGTTTTACTGGCGTAGGGTGACACTGAGGAGAAGTTGTGTTAACTGGAAGTGTATGAAACTAACCGAGTGTTCTTGAATAAATACATTTAGGCTGAACAAGATACAGTATGCTGAAGGTTTTTCTTTAAAGCAAAAAAAAAAACGAACTTTCCCGTTTTCGAAAGAAGACACAATTTTGTTTATCTTTCTGTGGAAAAACAAATCGAGAAAAGGGTGGAGTCGGTTTGTTATCAAATGCTTGACAACTACAGTACTAAAACAAAAGACATGCTGTACTGGTACAGTATACAGTATGTCTTTGCGGATTACATAAACCCACACAATCTTGTCGCTATTACAATATACAGTATACGTAAAACATTTGGGAAAGACGACAATGAAGAGTGGAAATAGCTTTACTTTCTGGCAGTTCATTCGTGAAATGAATTATGAAATATACAGTATATAGTTAAGAAAACCAGGCTTTTTGGATACCTGTGAATAGCTATTGTTTAATGTAAAGATAATTTGTTTGCTTAATAGCAGGGAATTATCAAATGTAGATAAATTGTATATTCCGTATTTAAAGTGTATATTCCGAACTGCAAATGTGTGTTGCATCAAATGATGCAGCTCTTACAAATTCACTCCTCTTTTGAGTTTGCAGTGAAAATGCAAATCCGTTCTTGTTTTTCTCCTGTAACAGGCTTTTGGAAAACTGGAGCCATTAAGTTATTTTGACAGCAGAAATAAATGAAACACGTCAAAGATGATTGAAAGGTTCTAATTAATTTTGATAATATAGAAATGCTCTATGCAGACATGAAGATGCTTTCCATTTTGAAAATTGTTATTCCTACTGACTGATTGTTTTTTGCAACTGTCCCTTAAGTCACCTATTGTATGGTTGTAATGTAATTCCCACTTAATGGAACTGAGTATCTGTTACCCAGACAGAGGAGTAAAGAAGTTGTACTGTAGCCATTTGTTTGTAAGCTAATAGTAGGCGATAGAAAAGATGATAGGTGTTTTAAAAGTTACATTATAGGTCAAACAACAGATAAGCAGATAAAAAATTGAAGAATAAGAGAAAAAACTGAAGAAAGATTTTCAAGTGATGTTTGCAATTGTAATCTTCATAATATATTTCACCACTATAATGCTCAGAAAATTCTTACGAATGAAAGAAAATCCAACAGGTGAAATCCTAAGATTTGTAAAAAAAAAACTGTTCTGAGCAACTGTTCACAAGTTCATGTGATGAAAGGCAGGAAGATCAAGTAATACAAATACTCAAACATGAGTATCTTTAAAAAATATTTATTTAAGTACAATATAAAAATGGTATGAAATCCAACTTTGAATATGTAAGTACTAAACAGATACCAAGCATTTTAAAAATATATAAAGTCAAACATTTGAAATACATGTCAAAAAGTGACTGGAAATACAAATTATTGATCTTATGTAAAAAAGACTTAAAATTAAGAAGAGATGTTTAAAAGGACAGTAATTTAAGTTTAATGGCTGTAAACATAAAATATGTAGATTAAAGTGTACAACAGGAAATCTGTACAAGTTAGCAAGGGTCTGATTTTTCAAATTAAGGAAACCAAAAGACTACTGTACGTAAGAATAAGTATTGACCAATATCTTTTATTGCATGCCAACACAAAATTAATAAGATTGTAAGCAACATACTGGTTATTTTTTGTACCATATCAGGTCGTTAACTGTAATATTGTTTCAGAGAAGCACATATACTGTGTTAATATATATGGTTGTCCAAAAATAATCAGGGCATGATAAATGAAAACTGTGGTTTATTAATGGAACTCCAGGCTAAATCTGGTCTTTTTCCTTATTTTACAACTTACAGCCATAGCTGAGCATAGCTGTGAAGCCATAAACACAGTGTTTCTAAAGCAACAACTATGCTTTTGTAAGGAGTGGTCGGTAACATTTTATATTATTGTAAATGCAATTGGTGCAGTCCCCCCTGACTTGACAGTTTACTGTGGGTCCAGCTCTTTGTACTTCCTTTCTGATTTGCACAGCAGCAGTGTGACCCATGAAGTCTGCTTCCCAGATTAGTTCTTCTGCTGTACACTCCAATCCAATGCAGTCCCTCTTGTAGCCCCAATCCAGTGTGGGACAATAGTTCTAGAACCTTCTAAAATACAGATGTGCTTCTCTGACCGTCAGCTCCACTGAGAAATATACAGCATTGTGAATATCAATGTCTTTGTTTTGCACGTGTCCTTTGCTTTCATGGGAGGTTAGACTAAATCATGGGTGTTCAATTCAGTTCCTGGAAGGTATCTGTATATCTGTGTATCTGTAGGTTTTCATTCCATTTTAGCATTAAAAAACCCAAATAAGAGCAGTTTAACTATGTCAGATGCTGGTCCTTTAAGGACATCTACAATCCTATAGAAACATTTGCCCTTCAGGACCAGGATTAGAAGGTCCTGATCTCAGCCTTACCTTTTAACACTGTAACACCATGATTGGAAAATCTAAATTAGTGATGCTTACTGCAAATTACAAGTTCTAACACTGTACTCATGGGAGAAGTCCCCTCAAATGCAGTTTCCATGAACTAGGAAACCCTTAATTGTTACTTTAGTAGTTTGGTCATATTCTAATACCCAAGATTATGAATATACAGATATATATACAGGTATATACCTGTATAGGTATACTCACATTAATACTTTGGCATTAACCACAAGGCTGAGGAAATGTAAAAAAATGTAAAAATGTAAAACCCTTAAAACAGTGTAAATACAGGATGTACACTGGTGATATTTATTTTGGACACAAAAAGTCCAAACAAGCATTCCTGTCATATCTGTATTATCATGTGGAAACAATTAAAGGTTAAGTATCAGAAACAGTCATTGCATACTATGCAATTGTTATACTAGCATTTTATCCATTTATTATACCTATTATTTTAAGCTGCTTCATATACTGGCAAATCTCTTTCGATAAAAATAATCATCAGTTTTACGTTCTGCTGCACACTGTTTCTGTGTTATTTTATCAAAGTTTCTAAAAACAGCAAGTGTTTTCTTGTCAAGTACAGAACATGATGGTCTATGTGTGGAAGACATGGGATCTGTTGTCTTTTCTGCATCTAGGGTTTTTTCTGAATCGGGGCAGGGCAGTGTTACTAAACTTGCACTTTTTTTGGAATACTCAAATATGTTCTGTAAAAAGGCATCTTTGGTGTTGTTCTCCTTTTTAAAAAGAATTACGTAACACTTGGGGAAGAAATGGCAACAAAGAATACCATAATTTGATATCAGTATGACAACCATTTCTACAGCAGGAAGATATTTACCAGTTGTAGTTAAATAAACAGGAATAAAGAAAACCCATGATATGAAGTAAATAAGCATCCCAAAAGTGATAAATTTTGCTTCATTATATTTTTCTGGTAACTTTCTTCCCTTGAAAGCACATATAAAACATATTAAGGCAAGCAAAGCTATGTAGCCTAACATAACACCATATGCCACATAAGAGCCTTCTTCGCACTCAACCAAGATTGTGGTAGAAAGTGGCAATTTCCTTTCTTCTGGACTTTTAAACACTAACCACATTGTACAAATTATAACTTGAATCCCTACACAGCATGGAACGATCACATAAGGCTTATACGTTTTTTTTAAAAAGTTCTTAAATTCCGGATTAAATTGGAATGCCAGGATTATTTTCAGGGACTTCACTAAAATGCAAGAGACACAGCAAGCAAAACTCAGACCGAAAAGGACCTGCCTGACTTTACACCTCGGATTTGATGGTTCCCCAACAAAAAAAAAAGAACTTATGAAGCTGATCATCAGGGACAACAAAATCACATAGCAGATAGGACCGCCTGATGCCTTCACCACGGGTGTTTGTCTGTGTACCATAAAAATGATCCCAATGACCACGACAACCAGCATGCCAAGAGCCGCAATTCCCAGGAGGAATATTGCAAAGCCATCATTCCATGAGAAGTACTCAAGCAATTTCGGAGTGCAGCTTGAACTTCCAGGCAAGGACCATTCCACGGATGTGTCACAGTTGTAACACTGAAGCATATCTAAAATATAATAACAATACAAAATATCAAGAAACAAACTCATGACACATAATGCACATCATTGTGGCAGATCTAATAGTTTCTCCAGAATTCTATACTATACAAAAAACTTCAAGTACTAAAAATACAGCACCATATACTACAATAAATTGACAAGATCTTTTATTTAGTGTTTTTTTACTTTTGCAAAAAGATGTACAAATCATTTCTCTTCCAAGACCAAGCTCTTGCTAAAAAATTGATTCTCAATGGTAGTTATTTTTCAAGAAATGTCTCTAAATGATAGATTTCCATTCTGGTATGTGAAGCTTAGTGAAAGGGGGTGGAGTTAGGAAAGCTGGTGGACGGACATGGATGGACAAGCTCAAGGTACCCTGGAGATGGACCTGCTGGTAGATTAAAAAGGGCCAATTTTCTCCATTCATTGAAGGTTTCATTTCACACCTCCCTTCACCTATTCTGTCTCCACACTTCTTGATTGGCCTCTCTCTCTCTGTCCCCTGCTCCCGCCTCTCGCTCCTCCTCTCTCCAAGCTTTTGTTGTCCCGCTACATCACCTTTGCTTACTGCCTTGTCTTTCTCACACCTGAAGAAGGCTCCATGGCCGAAACGTTGTGTTTTCTTTCTTCTTTTTTTCAGCATAGAATAAACCTATTACTTGTTCCTTTGCAGCCTACGCATGCTGACGCAGCTACCCACCTGACCTACTACAGCCAATGAGGTTGTTCTGTTTATATTTACCTGTGTTGTTAGAATACTGGTTTTCTGTACAATTTATGCATTCATAACAACAAGTGTGCTGCCCTTCAGCTGTTTTCTTAACTTGGCCAGGTGTGCAACTGTTTGAGCACTTTGAAATTACACCCTAGAAAAAAGACACATATATTATCTCATCCTTATTTTATTTGAAAACTATTAATAGTTGGTGGCGGATATCACTAATTAAATTATTTAACAAGTCAAACTTACAGGATCCTTCTGCTCATTAAAGACAAACTCAACATTCTTGTCATCATAGGTTTGAACCAACAATGTCTTTTTGATAATTATAATATGCATAAGCAACCTAATTTGAAAACATTGCCATATCTAATCAGGTCTAAAGCAGCATACACTTACTGACAATCAAACCATATCAGTGGTAAATTAAACAGTCATGTTTTTGGCAACCCAAAATGTAAAATTCTGTACATCTTGCAACCACGTGAGATATCACTTTAAGGTGTTAAAAACATTGTGTTAATAATCATTGAGTATGCTCTAATTAAAAAATAATAAGGTCTAGAGGAAGATAATACAGACGTTTTAACACTAGAATCAACAGAACCTCCTTTTCAGCACAAATTACTAGGGACCTGCTATGAATTTTCACAGATTTTCTAAACGGATCTCTGCAAAGTACAGTGCTTTGGAGATGTGAAACCTGAACAACCTGAGCTGGGTTTAATGAAAATGACAGTTAACCTACCCGTAGATCATCAAGCAGTCTTTTTGTGTCATTGCTGCTGAAAGTGAACGTGTCATTCTCAATAACATACTCAGCCACAGAATTATACATATTGATGACTCCATTAAAGGTTTTCCAAAGGACAACATTGTAGCCACTGTTAATGTCCCCATCAGAATTAAACATGTATGTTTTTCCTTCTTGCTTGAACTCCGTTTTCTTGAGAGCGTCAAGTAACTGAAATATTTTATGTTGAAAGAGTCTGAGTTAAAACAAGATTTATTGTCTGGTGTTATAGTGCAGACAACCAAATATCACAACTGTAATGAGGACAACATACCGAAGTCTCTTTTTCTTATCACTTAAACTAAAACAACATTTTTTTAATGCATTTTAATCTGAAATGCTTTTGAATATTTATTTAAATAATAGAAAAACCAAAAATCAAGAAGAATATTTACCTCCCAGGGCTGAACATGGCTTCCATTTTTGCAGTTCTTTTCTTTACAAAGGTTTACAAGAGCATAGGCAATGGCATTAATTGTCATCTGTATACTGTACACATCATCAGGATATGTGTTGTCAATTAAGGCCTTCACTCCTGTATCATTTAGTGGTGGAAAATCTTTCTCTAAAAGGCTGGTTAGGTTTACAGTGTCGTTCAAGCTTCCATACAGAGCGTATTGTTTTAAAAAGATGTTATTCTTTACTGTCTCAGCATTGGATTTCAGATTCTTCAGATAGGTATAGAACTCATCCAGACTTCCGTTTTTAAACGTAAATCCAACAACTGTCTCAACGTTGGTCACGTTGTGTTTCTCAAAAGCGTCCTTGGACGTCGACCAGCCATCACTCGCAAACCAGATTTTGTTGAGGGTCTGCTTGTTAAAGAAATGTAAGATTTGTATCATGTGCAGGGGCCTCGCGAAGGAAACGATGACCTTTACTTTGTTATTACTGCGAATAGTTTCCACAGTCTGGTTTATTTTGGTATCGATATTTCTGTCGGAGAGGAGGTCAGGGAGAATTTCTTTGAACGCCACACAGATGCCCAGTTTGGCGGCGTGTGACACAAAGCTGTCCACCGCAGAGCGGCCATAATCTCCATCAGTCGAAATAACCCCGATCCAGTTCCAGCCACTCCTCTCTATCAGCTTCGCCATGGCTTTAGTCTGGTAATTGTCATTGGGTATTGTTCGCATAAATGTAGGGAAACGGGTTTTGTCACTGAGAATCACAGCAGATGATGCATAACTTATCTAAGAAAGAGAATGAAATTGAGGCATACTTGTATACTTCATTCCCCTGCACTATATTACAGCAATTAAAATATTACAAGAATCCTACTGCTACTTTTTAATTATTTTACAACACTCAATTTTAATTCTTTCTGTACTTTTGCTGCATTCTTAAGCATAAAAGATTTTGAGTAATTATTTAAAAACTACAAGATAAGTCAGGTTGGTGAAAGTCTCGCTCACTGATGGGCAGCAGTCATGTGTCTTAGCATGTTTAGTATTCTTCATTAACTCTCATGTAACCAAACAAATGATTTGATACATTGTTCAGCATTAAGTATTTCAAGAGTGTGGGTGTAATCAAGGCACATCCTTTAAATTCTGAATACTCTGACCTGCTTGACCACCAGCAATTATTTTTCCAAAAGATAAAGAAGACCAAAAAAAAGTAAAATCATCTGGTTGAATTTCTACGAAGTAGACACACGCTCATTAATTGTACTCTTGACAATTAAATATTTAAATTTTTCCGAAAAAAGTAAAGTTCCTTTTCATCCTTAAATATCAACCCAAGAGCATACATGTGTATCTAAGAATAAAATACACCAACAAAAATATGCTGACAGAAAGGATGTCCCATCTTAAACTTAGGTGAAAGAAAACTCACTTGTGGAATCATTTCCTGATTTAATAGCCTTGCCACAGCTATTGAGATTTCAGAATGTGAATCTCCCACAACAGCCTTCACTTTAGGGTTGCATTCTGTTGTGCTGCAGTGAGCTCCTGCACAGTTCCCAGGTGTGTTAATGAATGCCATGGTGGCTCTGATTGCAGTGGTGACATCTGAACACGAGTCGTAAATTTCATACCCCAGTTTAAGGCCATCAAGCAATGAAGAATTATTAATCTCCTCTATAGCGTGTATCATAGCAAGCAGTTGGGTAAAGCCTCCAATGTCAAATCTAAAAGCACCAAAGGAAAAAAAAGGAACATTAAGACTCAATATCAAAATTATAGCAAACAATTGGAAAATTTCTAGAGTTATATTTAAAGGCTCTAAAAGTAACAGCTTTAATAATATTTGTAACTCTTTGATACAGGATTTTTTTATTTTTAAAGAGAAATTCATTTCTACACTATTGCTAAATTAAAATATACTTTATTGCATAATATTCAATACTGTTAAATCAAAACATTAAACATTAACAAGAAAAAATAAAGGCATTCTTATTTTAAATGACTGTCTCAAAGTTTTCTTTGGGAATAAGAGAGCCAAATGGCCGTGCTACTTAAAGTGCATCTGGGTAAAGAGAGGACACTTAAATTTGAGAAAATTAAATTTCAAAGATTTTCTGCATTGGACGTTTTCTCTTGCAAAGAATCTATTTGAGATGTTTGTCCAGATGAATCAATAAGAGAATTTTAATTTCATGAATCCGTCTTTATGATATGATATGATATGAACCTGTTAAAAGAGCCTACATACTTACTTGGTACATGCAGGAGCCTGTGGCTGACTCAAGTTCACTCTATTGACAACCCCTTGATGAACTGGAAACAGACCACCAATGACGATATCCCCTGGGGCGATTGTTCCTATTAAAGTGGGAACAGCAGACCTGGCTTGGCAGAGCCTTGAGATAAACCACAACCATAGGAGCCAAGAACTCATCTCTTGTGCCTCAGCTTGCCCTTACACGCTGCACAGTGCGAAAACCTCTCTCGAAATTCCCTTTACAGGCAACACTCTGCTTCCTGGTTCATTTGCATGTCTTTGGGAGAGGGATGTACACTGCTCCACTGGCGAGCAATAGAAATTTGACTTTACTTTGCTGCCACAATGATTTCTTTCTCCTTGCTTTAATGCCAAACAAATATTTGAGGGATCAGATAACTGGAATTTTTCACAATTGCTTTAAGCTGCAGTACTTAAGCATTTTCACTAAAGCATTTTCCCATAAATAAGAAGATGCCTTGGCTGTGGTTGGACAGTCCTTTCGCCTAAGAAAAACCTTAAGTGTTTCCATGAATGACTTGAAACAAAACCGGCAGGGTGGAGGCTGGAAGACATCTATTGCAGTCTAGTCTCAAGTGGCCATTATAACACTATAATACTTATTGCTAAATCCCCTTGAAAGTAACTCCAACCACCTTTTACACAAATGGCAGGAGACTGCAGTAGCCACACTCTGTTACAGCAGTCATTTGTAGAACCATTCGTGTTGCTCTTTTTCACGCACACCATTCTTCATGTGCGCAGCAGGTTCATTTATTTGTAAAAAAACAATGAAAGGTATGGAGTTAGTTTCATATCCTTCTAACCATTTGTAACCGCTTTATCTAATACTGGGTTGTAGGGGAGCTGGAGTCTCTCCTGGCGAGCAATGGCCAAAAGGCAGGCGATGTCCTGGATGGGACGCAAGTCCATCGCAGGGCATTACTTTTACATTATACTTTCATTTCTGTCCGAACAGAGTACAGACTTTTTTCCTGGCATTGCCTTTGCCAGACATGTGTCTTCTTCTAGTCTTAGAAAATAAAATAATAATCAAATGAACATAGATTGAATAAAGTACTTGACAGCTTTTAGCAAAGGTTTGTGGCAATGTTTTTTGACACACATTAACCAGTCACGCTTGAGGCCACGTCAGATATCTAGTCTCGTTTGACAAATAAAGCTTCTGTCTATCGCGCACATTGAGCTTCTATATGTGAAAGTAAAAGGTTATGTATTGTCCCTGGGAAGTTTGTGCTTAAGAAATGGCCTGCCAAGAAAACTGTTCCAACAGTTATCTGAGACAGGGTACCCACCGACCATACAGTTTCTAATTGTTACACACAACTATTAAAAATGGTGATAAACCCAAAATAATTACAGACCAATAAATTTTACTTCCGTTACATGTAAGGTTATGGTAATGATAATGTGACCTAGATGATCATCTGTATGCCAATAGCACTTCGTTTCATTTGGAAATTCATAGATAATTAGAAAAGAAGGTCATGCTCTCCTTAGAGGTCTTAGGGCTCTGTATTAGGACCACTGTTGTATTTAATGTATTCCAATAACCTAGGTGTAGTGCAATAACCAGAATTCCAGAAAATACCAAAGTAGAAGGATAAGCAAACATTGTAAATACAGCAAAAGAAATACAAAACAACTTTCAAAATGACCAACAGCAGAAAGATGCTCTGTATTTAGTCAAGGAAAAGTGGTGATTAATATTTTAAGGCTTAATGGAATATCCTACTCTGTCAGCTTAAAGGAACTGAATCTTTTTAGTCTTAGAACATAAAACAATTACAAATGTGTATAGGCCATTCAACCCATGTAGCCCATTTGATAGCTATGCTAAGTAGAAAGTATGTGGAAGTGAATTTAAATCTAAACACAGGGGGTACTTTTTTTAAAAAAATAGGGTTGTGGGTGTCTGTATCTACAGTAGCTACCAAAAAAGTACCAAATCATGTTATGAAAGCTGATATCCTGGTTTCTTTCAAGAATCAACTATCTGACATACAGTACTTGGATCAATTAATACTGACTAACAAATTGACTAGATAGTCCTCCTCCTCCTCCTGTTCCTAATCTATATTATTATGTGGGAAATACAGGAGTGTACAAGAGAGCAAGTTTAGAATTTGACCTCCTTGCCAGACTTCTGTTAAAAGAACCATTAATTTCATTTTTGTGTTTATACTGTAGTTGATCTTTAAACTACTGTTTATGTTTATACTACATGCATATCAAACCACACACTTTAAATGTTAAATGACACCTGGAAGGTGTTTTCCCAGACTTGAATTTTAGCTTTTTTTATTTCATTTGATGCTCCTACAGTGTTTGCTAAGTCACCTAATTTTGATATGATCTGCAGACTTATCTAGTTTATGAAATAGATCAGAATCTAGATCACTGATTCCAAAAAAAGAAGAGCAGTGGTCCTTTAGTACTCCACTCATTACATCTTCCCAATCACCCACCTGTACATTCTGTTTTCTACTTAATAAGCAATTCTCAGTTAAAATACTCCCATCTCCCTTCATTCCTGCTCCCTTCAATTTGAGAATATATTATTTATGAGGAGCTCTATCAAAGGTTTTCTGAAAATCTAAATACACAATATAATATGCTCTGTGGGTGTCCATTACTGTTTCTTGTTCAAAGAACACTAACAGGTTGGTTAGGCACAGTCTACCCTTTTACATTCCTTGTCTTCACTTCACCAGGATATTGTTTCCAAATACTCTAAGTGATTTGGTAGTTAAGTTTTAATTATTGCTTCCTCAACACCGAATATAAGTCAGACTTATGGTTTTATAGGTCTATTATTATGTGGTTTATTTTTCTCACAAATCTTAAGGATTAACACTACAATAACAATTCTGCAGTCTCTGCATACTAACCCTGTCTTGAGTGACTGTTGGAAGTGCTGTGTCAATAGATTCTGAATAACATACTGTATCTTGTTTCCTTGAGTACAATTCAATTTAATACAATTCCATCAGGGAAATTATTCATCTTGAATGCTTCTAGTACCTGAAACACCTCTACCTCTTCTATGATCATATAGTGGATAATATTATGGAAAATGTATGGAATATAGAACTTTGTCATTCTACTGCTTAGGACCTATTGTTGAATTAGTGTATATCTGAGAATGCCTGAAATGCTCATTCAGTACTGTACATCAGCCATTTCAGTTTGTCTCTAGAAACTTCTTGTTATTGTCATGATATATTTGACTTAATCCTTGATGTTTATTGCTGTTGTAGTACTAACAGAAGTTTCTATTATTTATTCTAGCCACCATTGCAATATTCCTTTCAATTTCTCTCTTATTCATTCTAATTTCCTTTTGACCTCTGCTTACCTCTCTTTTTATTTACCTGGATCCTGTTATTTTTATTTTTATAAAGTGCTGTCTTTCCCCTAAAATGTTTTCCTAATTGATTTGTTGAACTATTTGGGGTACTTTTTTCTGCTTTCGATTTATTTTGACTTTTGTTATAAAATTGTTCAGTGCTCAAGAAATTATTTAGTGTTTTCATCCATTTTCCACTGATTTCATCTTTCCAATCCAATGTTACTTCTCTTAAAATGTGTCTCATTCTTTCAGTCTGCTTTCCAGAAAATGCAAGCTAATGCTTAACCTGTTCAGTTTCATATACTTCAAAGCACATCTTATTATAATAACAAATCCCAACTGTTTCTGTCTCCTCCGCTTGCTTCACTTTGTCTTGATTGTTTGAAAAGACAAGATCGACGCAAACATTTCCTTTTGTAGGTGTTCAAGGTAAGAAAGCAATTTTTAAACCTTCCGATTTTGAAACGGTTCCGTTGCCAATAGTCATATAGGTCTTTTCCCCTTTATGTTGGGGAAATTGAAGTCTCTCTGGCATCTATCTGCTAATGTTACTGTACATGCCTCTCCATTGTTTTTGGTTA